CATGCGTCGCGTTCAGCTCGGGGACGAAGAAGAAACTAATGATCGCACGCGCCGAATGAACAATGCGACTTGAACGACCGGGAAGAACATTCATATCGTGAAAAAACGATTGTGTCACCGATGCTTTGCATCCGAGGTCGTAATTACACACACGACACTTTTCCAAATATAGTTCCGCCGAGACGGATGGTCTGCGAAATAAAACCGTCTGCATGACCATTTCATGAGTGTCGTTAAAACGAAACGGTCAACACACCCTGCGCCACGGTCGCGCGAACTCGTCGGGGCAAACAAATGTTGCGAATATCAACATGTGGTCACGGTCATCCGCAGCGACGAGATTGAGGATTACGCGCTCTTAGAGTGCATGTCTGATTTTTTATTGACTCCGCCATGTTTCGGTCAGCTTCCGGTTGAGATGTGTCAAAAGTTGCTTTCCAGCAAAAGTCGGCACATAAATGTTGTTATATCATCTATTATTCTTTTCTTTGTCAAAGGCGAAATAAGCATATATGACGACAATAAATGATGATACAACTAGACTTGTGTTCCTTGTTGAAAAGTAAACCAAAGTTAGACGATAACCATATTCTTATTATAGATACTCTACGCGCTTCGGTTGGCACGAAACGAGAAATGTATAATCGGTCTGACCACGGCCGGTACGTGCGTTTTCGCTCGGCATTACGATAATAATTCGATCCGTTATCTGTCGTAATTCTCCGCCGTCTCGCGATCGGTCGGACTTATCGCATTCGTTCACGCGACCTTGATCGGCCGAACACTTCTAAATATCCGAGGGAAAATTAACATATAGCTTTGTAATCTATTCTGCAAATATCATATGGTGTACATTTGCACAATAAAACCGTGTACGATTGTGTATGATGAAAAAATAAAAATGGCGATATCGGGTATTAAAGAATAGTCCGTATCGTAATAGCCCGCTATTTTTTTTTTTTACAAGAATTATATACTCTATTGTTTCGTCCTTTCAGAATGCCAAAGAAGCGCGTAAGTGGCGTCGCTAAAAGACGTAAAACAATGGAATCAATCTAATATAATATTACATTTACATGGCGTTACAATATTACTATAATAGAAAGTATAAAAATATAAGTTTACAATAGAGAATATAATATAATAAATATATAATATAATTATTATAAACTATTCGAGTAGGTATTCTAATAGGTATTTCGTTTTATCCGATCTGTTCATTATCACCATTCCAAAATGTATCTTCAAAAAAGTTGATATAACGTTAAACTTATTATAGGTAAACGAAATCTGTTAGAGGAACATATAAAAAAAATATACTTGGTATTACAGTGAAAACTAATTTCAATTATCTCTAATAGTTTCCGATTTATCTTGAAAAAAACCTCAGGGTATTCCATAATATCCGCATTTCCTCTATTTATATCGAGTATATTATTAATGAATAGAAAGTTGATTTATAGCATCGAGAACGAAATGGGACGTCGACTCGACGTAGGACCGCAGAGGGTTGACGGCATTATCCGATCGCGAACGGTTGGCACTAGTAATTGAGCACTTCGGTCGCATTGATTCCCCCTCCCTCGGCCTATCCCTACTATGTCGACAGAGAGCGAATTTTCACTATTATCTACGCTACTGGCACGCCGATCACGCGCACGCACACGCGTGTCACGGCCTGGCGCAATGCTTCACGGCGCCAATCGCAACATGCAGAATGCACATGCAGTGGCGCATACGCCGTTGCATCGACTGGGCGCGGATTCGGGGCGCCGAAAGATAAAACACACACCCTATATTCCACGCAAACACCTGATTTCAAGTAGTTTCTTTCCCTATATTTTTTACAACGCCTGATTATAATTTTATGACATTTAATTTTAATCGTTTTAACGTACTTATTTTCTTAATTTTAATTTAAAATTCAAACCAATTTTCCAATCATTAATAATACGCCCGAAGTCTTGTTATAAATGTATGTTGTTGCATAAGTTGAAGAGACTGAGATGCTGAAATAAGCTAAGTAATAAATAAGTAATAAAATTTATTACTTAATAATATAAGTTTAAAATAGTCGTGCCGTGTCTTTCATGATGAGAGAAACTGACGACAAACTTCTCCGGAGGCTCTTTTCAGGGATTTTTAGAATTTTTCTCGGCGACGCGCACGGAAAATATCTCATGAGTCGACTTTCCGACTCACTTTGTCGAAGCGAGATTTGAAAGCTCGGGTACTGAAGATGTGGGTACGTTGCTGGCTGGTGTACACGCATACTTGCAGTGGCTACGCATACGCGGACGATAACACGGCGCGACGTGTCAACTGGAACGATAAGGGAGCTTCTCCCGCGTCGCAGAGATTTTTAATTGCGACGTTCTCTCGCGCCGAGAGAAGAAGCAGAGGCTGCTGCTCCTCATATAGACGCGGCACTCGACAGTTGTTTGTTTCTACCGTGCCTACTTGCGAATTTCTGCATTTAAGATCAAATAGGTGTACGTTTCAACGTTGAAGAGCGAAGGCTGAAGAATACGAAGCGTAAAAAGCGCGGCCAAAACGGGTACGTATTTAGCACGGCTTGGAAGCGGTCACGTCGTTAATCTGAGCGGAGCTCTAAGTCGGGGAAGCAAAAGTACGTAAATGTATCTGAAAAATGATTATTTTCCTTTTGTTATCGATAAAACTCCAGAATCTGAATTATACACTATAAAAAAATTAATCACGCTTTCAAAACGAATTCATTCTTTGCAATCCGTATAGTTCTCAATTTTCCTTCTCAACCGATCCGTAGAAATTCATTTGCTTGGCGACAATATCGCGTAGTTCGCAGTTTTTTATTTTATTCATTTTATTTTAGCTTTTTATTTGAGCTTCTTCATTGTTTTATTATTTATTACTTTAACTCATATTACTAAGTAATAAATTTAATTACTTAGCTTATTTTAGTATCACAGTCTTTAACTTAAACATACGCTTACAGCAATACTTATTTCGAGTGTACTATTAATGAACAAAAAATTAGTTTATATTATAGAATCAACTAGAGCGAAACATAGGCTCGATATGGAATCGCTTAAAAAGTTAAATTTGTTCGAAATAAGTGCAATCGGTTTTGAGGTTTTTATATACAAAATATATTCGTCCTTGGTCTGTTTAATTAGCTTCAATTTAAAAACGTGTACGCACATACAAACAGGTTACTATGTAGTTACATCTTTCATTATGTAATTCATACGTTTTGCTTCTTTATTAAAACCAGAATACGAATATGTAAGAATGTAAGAATCAGTAGAAACTATCGTCATATCGTTCTCTCTTTCTTTCTCAGGAGGCGACACCGATTATAAATCAATAAATATCCTTTCTCCGTACCTATTGCGCGCAGGTAACACTGCTAATTTAAAAAGGCGCAGCGAGTCGCCGCGCAAGCCGAGCTTAATTAATCCAGAATGTCGGTGCAACCGGGCCTTATATCGCGCGCGTGCTCAGTCCCGCCGCACACGGATGTGAAATGTCACGCGAAAACGCAAGTCACGTTTAGGTCGTGGCACAATTAGATCGAACATAACCCGAGCGGCCGTCACGCGCAAAAGCTTCCTTCAGGACGGCCACTGTTGATGCTTCCAATTGACACCGGAAAGTTTCGAGGCTGCTGAACGCGCTCGGCAGGAATATTTTCACGTAATGTTGGATAAATATTGAAATCGAGGAGCCCGTTAAAAAAAGAAGAGCAGAAGAATAAGACGACCAACTTTTTTCGAGCGAACATAAGCGAAGAAGTTTAGATTCGAGAGAGAGAGAGATCTCTCGAATAAGATAAATTCGATGCAGCTCGATCATGCTAAATTCTCGAAGAAGTCAAAATATACATCAGCGCGTCCCGTTCGTTCTCGAGGAATTCGTCGTATCATCCATGCCCACGTCTCACGATTCAAAATCTGATCGGGTTAATGTTTTCAATTGAAACGCGCCACGAATTTCATTTCCATTTCCTGTCTCAAGGGGAATCCGATTATCGAGCCTGAAAAATCAAGCGATAAGCGTGCGGAACTTTGTTGGGACTGTGTATGGTAAAGAGATGTGATTAAAAAAATAGTTCGTAGTTTCAAATCATGTGTCGTGTAGTATGTAGCTTTATATTTATATTTTATATTTATGTTCTCTTAAGTTGGGTTCATATGAGCTGACATATGGATAAATATACATATATGTATACGAGTATACATACATATACTTATTGTATATACATACATATACTTATGCCTGATAGTCGCTATCTATAGCGTGGTCTAACAATTGACTCACTTGTTCTATCATTTAGTTTGCTTGATAAATAGATTCCTTTGGCATATTTAAAGTGCTATTTTTTTCAGTTATTCTTCAGTCGGAACAACAAAGAGAAACGCGTACGTTTCTATGCTTCCTCAACGCGGTAAACACACGCGATGCGATATCTGTTATTTATTTAATTACAAACACTCGAGAATTTCAATGCAGTAGTGACTTACTGTCCACCATGCGTATTCTTTTATCTTTTCCTCTTCTTGTGAAATCGTTTTTTCTCCTTACATATTGAGCACAGTCTCTCGCTGTGCCATAATAATGAAGAAATCGGAGTTTGATAGTGCGTGCCGACGATAACAGCGAACTGGCAAATTACTAAATGTCACGCCGCGAGTCTTAACATTTCCCCAGTGACAATGAAAGATCGTCCCGTTTCGGGACAGAAGAGAGTCCGAGACGAAATGTCGTTTATCGAAAGACAGCTGATCAGAACACAGCTGTATCGAACGCGATTTCATCGACGACCAGCGCGTTCGTCTCGCTTTGCGGGAAGCTTTTTTCTTCTCATGAAGCGCGCGCCCGGATCATCATAGCGCGCGATTGGAAAATGATAGTCATATCTCGCGATCCTATCGGCCGGCGGATAACGAGACGAGTAAAACGAGATAATGAGCGACGTGACGGAGAGAAGTAAAAAAAAAGATGTAAGAGGAACGCACCTGCCAGGCCCATCGCGCGGACTGTTTTTCAACCGGTCGGTGGTCTCTCGCCGGCTCCCTCCTCGACGGATGGACGCACTCCCCTCAGGGCACTCGATCACTGTCTCGCGACACTGCGGTTTCTTCCCTCGCGTTCCTCAAGATTCGGCCGCGAATCGAGAAATCGATACGAGCGAGCGCGAGGCGCGCGCCCGAGCGCGCCCGCGCGCGACAGTCCTCCGCGTCTCTCTCTCTCTCTCCCCCACTCTCTCCTTCTCTCTCGCGATGACTCCTTTCTTCCTTTCTCCTCAGCTCCTCGGCGATTCTTTCGTAAGCGGGCGTTTACGCGAGACGATCACGAAAATAACCGGCGTCGCGACGACTCCCGACGATGGCATTTTCGGCTACCTCGCTCGCGGTCACGGAGCGAGACTGGCGCCGGCGATCGGCGTGAAATCGAGAACGATAGGAAACGATCGATCGATAACGGCGCGCCGGAAACGATCACCAGCGACGACAGCGCGATAACGACGACGGCGGCGGCGACGAAGACGTTAATGACCTTCGCCAGACACCACGGCGGTCCGGTGACGACTGGCAAACAGCTGTAAACGTACACACATTTTGCCGCCGTCGCGATCAGCGATGGTGGGAGGCGAGCCGTGGATATAAGCGCTCCCGCGATCGCGCGCGCCGCGCGATTTCACAGAACGAGAGAGAGAGAGAGAGAGAGACATGTGATCCTAAAATCCTAAAACGGTACCGGTGCAATTGGCATCTTAATGATATTCGGGGACGCTGCTGATCGTGATTTTCTCGTCTCGCGACATAATCCGCGCGTTCGCGTCAGCGATTCTCCACGACCAGCGAGATTGCTCCCGTTCCTCGCGTCTATCGCCACGACGAGACAACGTTCCGAAACGGGAAGACAAATTCGAAAATAGAGAGAAGCGATCCGTCGATGTTATTAATAATTATTAATAATGTTGCACCGGGAAAATATTGTCTTTTTTTCGTTTGAAAAACTTGATTTCGTGTCTCTCCTAGTTCCAGGTAGAACAGAAAATGAGGATAGCGTCAAAATGACGACAAAATGATTATAAAATATCTCATTTCTCGATCCTTTTTTTTCATTACTTTGACGTCGATTTCACATTATCGTCACTTTCTGTTCTACCTGGGGCAGTGCAAGAATAGTCTCTATCTATCTATCACGGCAGACTTTATTTTGCTAAGGAATATGATAAATTGAAAGTAAATTAATTAAATTTTCTAACCCCCCTCAACTCATAAAATGTAAATAGTGTGAACATAAAACGAAAATATAATAAATCAAGGCAGAATGTCGATACGTTCCCTGATCACGAAATTCCGTAATGATATTTGCTATAAAATCTTTCCCGTATATTATCTTAAAATAAGCGTCGTCCGCTAATTTCCGTCTTGACATCATAACAAAGGAGATAAAAGCAGTTCGTCACTAATGCAAATCAGAGGATTCTCTGTCCTTGCCTCGAAAAAAAATGAGAAAAAGAGGCATATATTTTCTTCAAGTTGTCCTTCTCTCGATGATGGTTGACCAGTTGGGTCAGATAATACGTTACATCACTGTCTCTCACGGGATACGTGCGAATTATTGCATCGTCCTCTTTCCTCGTCTTTTTTTCTTTCTTTCGCGCAGGCGCCTACGTAAGCGACGACGGCGAGCTAAAAATACGGAAGTAACGCAGCGGGATTACGTCGCCGAAAATATTGGGTACTCGTCTCATTCGCGTGCATCAGTGTGTGTGCATCGATATAGCGCAATTGGCATCGATACCTACTAGACAGCCGCCCCGTCCGCTCGCGGAAAGACCGTAACGCAACATAACGAACGATATTACGGAACATAATTAGCAATCCTTCGTAACTGTCTACAAGAGGCCCGAGAGGGGCCGAAGAGCGCGTTTACCGGTAGCACGTGCGCTCGTTAAAATTTCGCCGAACAGCAATCTGTACGCTCTATCTACGGCGGGAATAATAATTTTTCCTAACGCGACGTTCGCTCACGATATCGTTTAATCGCCCAACAATCGGTTACTCTCCGTTCGCTCGTGAATAATAAAATGAATCGGCGTTCTCTCTCTCTCTCTCTCTCTTTCTCGCTCTCCCTTCTCGTCGCCAAGCCACGGACGATTGTGACACAAAGAGTGCTGAGATTGCTCGCGCTTTTCGCGCAAACACACAGGAGGCGAACGAAACGATGCGTTGCACGTAAAACAAAGCTGCCGGGTGGACGCAGCCAGTGACTCAGTTGGTCGATGATAAACCGCAACGCCAGTGCTCTTATTCCCGTTGGCGGACAATGAGACAGCAATAAGTGATTCATGCCTCCGTTTTCCGTGCTTGTCGCCGGCTGTATCACTAGAGTATATCACCGTGCATTCGCATCGTTTGCGCGGCGCCGTTCATTGTTCGAAATTTGAGTTAAGGCCCCGCAGGGTGTATCGCGCGAAAACGGAGATATATCTGCGTTTATTTTTAGATATCTTCAATGTCTCCCGCGTATCTTTAGAATTTCCATCGTGCACGCGTGCATAAGGCCGAACGAGGTAAGGAAGCAATTAATTTTTTTGACCCCGCCGAGATATCTAATCGAAAATAATCGAGTGAAGAAACAGTACAAGTTTATGCATGGTTTCTGTGATGCAATACAAACAAAATAAATAATGGTAAAATATAAGTGAATAAAAAACAAGATGCATTTCAAATATCCAGAGTACTCAAGATATATCATAATAAAAGTATCTAAACAATGTAATTATAAAACGTCTAGGCAATTTTGTAATTATATATCCTAAAAATATCTTGTTTTGTTCTCATTACACCACAAAATCCGCGCATGAACTCTTCTTGGCACAAAAATTAAGAAAAGCTGCTTCTTATTTGATTTAACAAAACGAAGAATTATTTATAGGCCTTTAAGAGTTTCTTGGTCCTTTATTTAATTATACTTCCGATCAAAGCAATCGCTAAACGTGCCAATGAGACTTTACAACGATTTATGATTGTCGACTGACGATTTTGCGGGACGATATTTCCTGTATTATCTTCACAATTTCGCGTGATATCTCTATTGAGCAAGGAATTATCGAGATTATCGGAGATTCGTCGTTAAAAAATACATGTATCAGTATTATATTTATCCTTGCGTGTTAAAAAAAAGAAGAGAGGAAAAACATAGAGCGCATATACATACGTCGCATTTACAATCTATTACGGCGTTGCTCCGCCGTGCGAACGTAATGCGATGAAAATGTAATATCAGTTGGGGAGGTAACATCTATTATTCAATTGATATCGGCTGACGCGGTCGTAAACGGTGGAATTCATAATTTGTGAATGCTCGGTAATCCTTGAATACGTCGTCCTCGTCGTTATATGACGAAGCTTTTGCATACTTCAATATTCGCCCCGTAACGTGAAGATAAGATAAACCTTTACAATGAGGCTTGACGAGCCTTTCAAAATATGATAAACTGATGATATTTCGGCAATCCTCGACTGCACTTTATTGTATTACGATTCAAATGACACGGCGGAGTCGCGTAAATATTTGTTTTCCGAATGACGAGAATCAAATTTCCAGTTTCGGTGCGGTGTATCCTTAAGGATATAAGAATATATGTAATATATCTCTAAAAATAAAGATTTTTTAATTAATTTTCTTTATATTATTATCTTCTTTACATGTGTCGTTAAGTAGAGTGCTCTTCTGGAGCTATCAAATTATCATAAAATATTTATTATGAATATTTATTTTGACAAAAAAACAATCGATTGCTCCTCAATCTTTTAACTTTTCATGATAAAATTCTTAAATTTTTTCTTTCGGGAACCACTTTTCAAGTCAAATTTTGAAACACTATATATACTTATTTGTGATACATCTCTGTTCAAATACCACTAAATTTGCAAAATATAAAATCAAGAGATTAAAAGGAAATTTCAAGAATATATATATATATATATATATATATNTAAAAAGAAGTTGGATTGTTAAATGACGCGTATAACATAATATCCGTTTTTCTTAATGTAGAATTTTCACATATATATGCAGAAAGTAAATAAAATTTCACTCATATCTGTCGATGACCAATATTAATTCATATGACGTCCCAATTCTCTGATATAATTTTAATGTTTAGTTATGTTTGCACAATTTGCACAACATACAATTCATTCCTCCGATGAATCTTTTCACTCGCATTAATTGATCGGTTAATATAATTTATCTCTCATAGATTATTTGCACCAAAGTAAACAGATTTTTCATTTATGAATCTATATTTCAAGCGAAAATTCTTCAACTTTTCTAAGCATGCAAGCAAAAAACGCAACACGAAAGAAACGATAAGCTCAGAAAGCGGTATATAGATATTTAAATCGGTGAACCGAGATATACGATACGTTTCCAAGCATTTTTTCTTATTTCTTCCTATCTCTTCATAGATAATTCTTCGCCTTTCCTGGTTTGTTCTATGTATCCTTCTCAAATTTAGTAAGTCTTATACTATTCAACTATCTAAGTTGGTCTTCATAAATCGCGAATGAACGACAGTTAACGTTCCCCGACGTGAAACGAGATTATGTATGTTTTTTGTCCACACAGTAATGTAAAAAGTATCTTTCGGAAAGTATTGAAAAGGCAATGAAAGGAGCGGCGAAATATGGAAAAACACATAAGTCATAAATCTTTCACTGTTCCAGATAATCCACAAATTCCACTTATACACCGACAGTTCTCCTCTCTCTACGTTACTCTAAGCAAAAATACCCCATACATCGACTATCTCGTTATTTTGAAAGTTCCGAAGATATCACTCACCTAATATGAGCCACTCATCGAAACACATCACGGACACTGCTCTTTCTATATTTCGCTTATTCCACCCTTATTCCGGTCATCGACAAAAGGATGTGAAACAAAATTATCACGGCGCGCACATTTCGCGTTTATGACTACCAAAAGCTTGTCCGAATATCTCGGGAGCTTGACTGCAGGATTCACGACGTGCCAAAGTTAACGACAGGTGCAGGTAACATGAGTGAAAACGGCAAAACTTTGATGTATGCACTAACAGATGCCGAGTGTCGACAGGATACCGACTTTCGAGGGTTTATTCGTAGTGAGATCGTAGGAACTTTAGTGAGGAAGGAGGAGTTGTAACCATGAGTGGGGGAGAGGACGCTTAAGAACTGATAATATAATCTTGTCGACGTAGGTTTGTGCTTCATACCGCAATTTCTATGACGCAGAAGGCAGGAACATCTCGGATTTAACGTACAGATAGATTTACAGTAATCTCAAAAAGCACCAGCGGGGCGAATTTCAAGGATTTCATTTTCGAGGATTTTTCAATCAAAGTTTCTACTTAAGGATTCTCAGTGATTGAAATAAGATTTTAATTTCCCGCTTTTAGATGAAATCAATCACTAATTACATCTACCTAATATCCCTCTATTAAAATAACATTTCTAAAATAAAAAATTGGATCTCAGAGGGTTAAAGTAAACACGAGATCGACATAACATTTTATATCATTCATTTCATTTTTATTCATTGCCTTCGTCTTTGAGTCTACTAAGCGAATTTTTCGTCAAAACGCGTCGATTTTTGTATATCTTATCTCTCGCCTATATAGTGGAAAAATTTTTATTATTCCAAGCATATGATATATATGATAATAAAAGGTATGATATGCAGTGATGAAGTATTGAGTAGTATGATTGAATCAAGTTACATCACTATACGTCGTGATTTCTTTCAACGGGTATCACCGAAGATTCCCTGTGGCGGCATAGTTGACGTCAGGTGTCGGTTACCAGCGACTGACATGTCAATCAACACGTCACATATCATTTTCACGACATTGAAATATTACGAGGGAAAAATAAAATTTGCATTATAGTGAGGAAATTTTCTTGGAAATCCGACGAGTCCGTTGTCATTCAAAAGAGAAACGAGAAGTATTTAAAATATACTTTTGCAAATATTTGATTTTTGGTTTCTTTCCTTCTAAAATGAAACGGACATATACAGTGAAGTTAAACACTGAGGGATCCGAAGTGGCATATGAGGTATCATTCACTTCTGCTAAAGAAGTATGCGCATTTATCGGACACGTATTTGCAATGTAAAACGTCTTGTTTTGTTTTTCAAAGCGAACGGAAACTACAACGCTAACTCACGAATTATTTAAGGAGAAAGAATCGAAAACTATAGAAGAACGTTGTATTACTATTTTTTTTTCTTCTACCAAAGGCGAACTCGATTTTTGGCATCTTCAATGTGAAATATTATGTGATATAAAAAGCATCGACGTCGAGTATCAGTATCTTGTAGCGATGGCTTGGTAGCCGAGTATTATGTAAATGGCAATCACGCCGGAAAAACACGACAATCAGCGTGCGATAGAATGGCGTCTCCTGTAACCAGGTCGACGGAGTAAGTGCACATCATGATTTTTTTACATTAATATACGCCTGTCATGCCGGTTTCCTCAAGTGCGATATCTCATTTTTCAATGTCCATCGCGATGGACATTTGCATGTTTTTGCATATTTCATGAGTGTTTCTCCGAAGCCGGGAATCCATCCCGTCCATTTCTTCCGTATTAGGCTCCCGATTGGCTAAAAAAGATCTACGATCGAGACCTTTGCTTAGATTCGAGGGGATCTCAGCGATCGCAAATACTTCCCATTGTATAAATATCTGTATCGCTGTCGCACGATAGTCGATTTCTCTCGAGATCATTTTATATACGAGGAAGAAAAGCGTCGCTACAAAGATAAACGCCTTGTTCAAGATATTCACGAAGAAAAAAAAAACAGAATTAGCTCCCACCTGAAAACTAATTCTGATAACTAAATTTTAGTTGTATTATACATAGACAGCTAATTTTGATAGCCGTGGAAGTTAATTCTTTTCTTCCCTGTTAATGCAAATGAAATGTATCTCGAATTGGTAATAGCAGCGATATTTCTTCGTATTTTATCTAAGATTTCTCATTAAGAAAAAATGAAATGCGGTTTTTTATTTACTATTTATGGCGATTCAGGAACGATATCAATATGTTGCCCCACCGAAGGAACCTATTCGAGTCTAAATTAGTTGCATCGAGTGAAATTACGCAATCAGCGGCGTTCTGTGCAGCAGGACAGCGTGATGTCATATCGAAGTGAACGTCTATCGTGAAAAGAAAAAAAGAAAGATGGAAAAACAATTCGTCACGTCCCGCGAATTAATCGCATGTATTTTTGCAAACGATTCAACGGCGCGTCACAGACTCATATTACGGCGATAAACACGCACGCATAAATCACCGGTTTCTTATTAAGTGAAATTAAAATCTGGAATAAAGTGCTTACGGCGTTAAACATAATGCCGTCTAATATCCGTGAGCAATTTATTCCTGGAAGTTCCAGGGTCTCTCTCTCTCTCTCTCTCTCTCTCTCTCTCTCTCTCTCTCTCTCTCTCTCCTTTTATTCCGCGCAGGTATTATTCATTAAATACACGGCGACGTACCATCAAAAAAACAAGCCTGACGTAAATGTAACATAAATATTTAATATCTTCGTTAGTATTTTATATATCCTTTTCTAATTTATTCAACATAAGGGCGAAACAAATATCCAGATCTGCTGCTGTCCGCGCTGTAATATTATTTATTTGCTTACGTTCACAACGTTGGAAGAACGTTAACTCGAAATGTGCCTGAAAACGCTTGTTCACTTTAATATTATTATTCATCGGTAAGCACGCGACAGTGTGGTACGTAACTCGTAATTTCAAATGCCGATGAGAAAAATTTAGCAGTGTCATGACGTTTTGCATTTCTTCTCCTTCCTTTTCGAAGCTCGCGCGCGAAAGCATTTATATTAGAGGAAAACGCGCGCGCATGTATTAAGTGCGCGCAGCGCACGCATACAAATTCAACGGTCGATTGATCGCGCGGTTAAAGAAACATTCCGATCACCATTCCAAAACAAATGAAAAGGGAAACTATCCCTCATTTCATATGTGCTATTTATATTTCAGGAATTCTCTGAGAAGCCTACTATTAAAAAATATTAAAAAATATCCCATATTCCCCTTAGCAAGATAAAGTCTATATTGACAGTCTATTCGCGCACTACTAAAAAAAACATTGGAAAAATTTTCACGTAAAACAATTTGATAAAGTATCTCATAAAGTATTTCGTAAAAAGTTTCACGAAAAAATAATATTTTCCGCGTGTGCAAATCAACCATTACCGAAACGCCAAGACGGATGATCCTCCTTAGCAAAATACAAATCTCGCCGCTAGTTTATAGTGTGTAACAAGTAGCCGAAATCATTAGTCAACTGCTAACAAAGAAATTGCTGATATGTCACACACGCTATCGCACGATCATGATAAGATAAAATATAATTATATCGAACGCTCCCGCGACGATTAGAAAATCACTTTTTTCGAATGAGCGTATCGCGTGGCAAATATTTGATGTGTGTCAATCGTCTCTCAGGATATTCGATCTTCATTTTCGGCCAGGTAACATGGAGAAACAATATAATATAGAGATAATATATATAGAGAGAAAAATACAGAGTTATCGATTTTTACGATTCGCCTGTGGAGACACCGATACCGGATATCTCGCGTGGATATATTTATCTCTTAAGCGCACCAATTAATTTCTCCAACGTGACCAGTGAGCTCCGGTTAATTACTCGGTCTCGTACGTCCGCTCGCGGACCAATAAAGACTTGTTACGTGTATACATATGCGCTGCCGTTCAACGTTCACGTAACCACTACGACTAGTCCCGCCGTCGCGATTCCGCGCGATAAGCGAGCGAAGAAATTTCATACAGCGCCTTCCTCAGTACGAGAAGTTACATCATTCTCGGCGACGGGAGTGAATGAGTTATGACGTACTCGGTAAACAAAAACACGGTTAAATTCGACGCGAGTTTATTCTATTTGGAACAGATAAGGCCGGATCTATAATGTAGTAAGCCTGTTATAGTTTAGCCTCTCTTACAGAAAAGTATTACCGCTCGTGATAAATTGGCCAGTAATATATCATCACTGTTGTTGGGTAGTTTTATTATTCGTATGAGTAAACTTTGTTAAAACTTTGTAAAAAAAATTCAATATACTGTCGGTAAAATTGTCAAATATGGCATCCCCTTGAGGGAATCCGGAAGTCGTTCTCCGTTTAATTTAAATTAAAACGGAGGACACCCACGCGACCACTTCAAGGTTGATCTAAAGAATTTTAACTTCAAGGGGAAACATTTTTTGTCGGAATTTAAATCATATATTCTGATCTGATATGTTCCTACTCGCAAGAAGTGATTCATCTTTCGACTGTCTTATTTCGCTACCATTCACTATGAAAACGTGAACGAAGTCATAGCCGATAGTGTGTTGTAACATCATCGATTACTTTGTATTCCCGGAGAAAATAAGTCCGACGGCGATAAGAAATAATCCCGATAACGCGCGTTTATCGCGTTCGCGATGCTTATCTTTAGTTTTGACAAATTGAAAAAAATAAGAAGCCCCTGAAGACGACAATAGCGAGAATTGATGGTTTTTCCACGCGACGTTCAAACTAATAGTGTGTGCGTTTATCGGCCCGGTTCGACTTTATCTTTCGCATTAGATAATTGCACGGCAAACATATACACGTAATTCCAATCGAATTTTTATCGCGCGTAAACTTATCGCTTTATCTTCTACGAACTACAAGGACGCCGGCAGGTTTGTGCAAATTAATTCTATTTATCGTTAAACAACAACTGAGTGAAAGCGAATAAGCTGAGGTGTTGAACGAGCCTGAAAATTGTTCTCAATATATAGCTTGGAAATTGTATACACAGCTGTACGTGATAAATGGAGAAAAGGCAATATGTCGATATGTTCCTCAATTGTAAAATTCTATAATAAGTTTTCCTCTAAAATAATAATACTTATTATTATAAAATTTCTTTCCGTGTAGTTTGAACATACACAATATCCGATAAATATATATATATTTTCTCCCTCTCTCTTCGTACTTGTTTCGTTTTCCCGTCGATAGTAGACGTATCACTGGAACTTTCCAGAGATACAATTAGTCCACGCTTCACACACGAGAATCAATGTTAAAACCGAAACATGTTGACATCGCAGTCGCCGGCCGGTGATCGTCGCGTTGATCGATCCAACGTGTCGTTGTTACGTTTTGACGTTTCATTCTCAAAGACGGTAAGGTCGGAACGTGAAACAAATGTCGAGGGTTGCGCACGTCCTCGGCGACGACCAGTCGGAAACCCGGCATCGAGCTCTCTTTCCTCTCCGCCGTGGGTTATCGGTTGACCCCACAGCTTGCTCCTATGTTTATTATATCGGCCGATACGACACATCCAGGATGCAACCTTCGATTCGTCATGCAATCGAAACGTGTCGCCATTTACTGGAACACGAGATTCGGATAGGCTTTCGCGGGCTCTTTCCACTCGCCCGAGGAAGTTTTCCGCTTTCTCTCTTTGAAAGAGAGGCGCGCATTTAACGCAGTTTTCGAAAGGCGTTCCTGTCGTGGCGTATTAGCGGACAAAAATTGCTGATTCACCTATCATGGTGCGAAGAAAGGAGGGAGGGGATTTAATGAGCAACGTCGAGAGGCGAGATATACCGCTCGCCGAGATGAGCGCGAGCGTAGAAAAATGTGCGAGCGATGTATGCAAGCGATCCAGCGTATTTCTCCACATTTCCCTATTTCATCGGCCGTTATCTCACGTAAACACGCTTCTCCGTACGTGATATCCGGCCCTCATTGCGAATGATGGAAATAACCGAGCGTGGACGCCACGTGCCTCGTCGCGAAGACGCGTCGCCGATAAGTCAGCGTTAATCTTAATCCGTGAATTCGGGGGAGGGGAGGGAGGCTTGCTCCGAGAAAACTGTTATCCCGAGCGCGTATAATACAAGGAGAGAGCAAGAAATGGCATTCACAAATTCCTGCGTTCTATCTCTCTCGTGTGTGTCGATACAATTATTTTAAGAAATTATTCATCGTTCGATTACTTTAAGTCGAAATTATCACGCTCGATAATCGTGCGGATACCTGTGTGTTATGCTTATTTTCGGCGCCAGCCATAAACTTTTTATAGTTTTAATCACAAAAATAGTAGTAAAGTTGCTATCATTAACATTATAGTAACTTACTAGAAAATTAATTTTTCTAACAATAATTTTTTACTTTTTTATGATGACTGTACTTACAAGTACCAAATATTCTTCACTCAATGTAAAAGAGACGTTATTTCGCGTCGCTCATCGGTGAAGAGAAAAAAAATCACGTCCCCATGAATTCGTAGAGGATTTCTCAAATTCGACCTCGAGGTTCCGGGTACTCGCCGGCTCTACCGTTTCGCGATTACGAGTAATCAATTACGCCGTCTCGGTCGGCGAATAATATTTACGCGCTCGATATTCAATATCGACAGTAATATATTAATCGTAACGACTCGAGATGCAAAATTCGACCTATACAGAGGCCTCGCGCGTGAGCTTCTCTCCGCTCCTCTCCGCTCCTCTCCGCTCGATGTGGAAGTAATCTTGAATATTATCAAAATAATACTTAATAGCGACTGTTTTCCGAGACTGTTTTTTTTTGCCACGCCGTGTCACGCTCATCGACGGGCGTGATGATGGCTCACGGATAAATATTCATCTTGAGAGATCCGCGCATTCTCTGCCGAGATAACGTAATAATATACAAATGTGTCGTTTATCGATGATAAGTCGATCGCTCTGAGGAAGCGCGACCGCTTCTGCTGTTGTAGCTGATTTGCCTGTGAATAGGAGTGCCATCGTTTCAGAGCACAACAATCCTTATCGACGACGACGACAAGTTGCGTCGGATTAGCGTTATCGATCTAAGAATCAATATTTTCTTTCTCTCATGAGATAGCAACTCCGCACGCGCCGCGCTCGTTTTCCAGGTCTCGCTCGTTCGTTTCGTAACGCGACTATTCTCATATTGTCGGCGACATCAATTACAATTCTAGCGGTAATTGTTTCACACACTGAGAAAAAAGTGTTCGGTACATTTGCATATGTAAATGTGCAATGTGATGAAACAGTTATTATTTGAGAAGCCCATTTGTGCAATAATGATATTAAAACAATGTTGCAACGATATGCAATTACAAAGTTATTATCGCGCACATATTGTCACAGCTATTTTTTCTTAATAGAACAAAAAACAGATAGATAGATAGATAAGAGCGTTTATCGACCATTCTGAGCTAAGCTTTCTAAGAACGTACAAACATTTGAAGAAATAAAATGAAATAATATGATTTTAAATGTGTTAAGATACTGAGTATTTTATACGTATTAAGATATTGAGTAATATAAACGAGAAAACAATTCCGTTGGTAATTGAATTTTCCGTTGCCTGGAGATCAGAAACGAAAATTCGATTGTGGGAACAGAAATCTATAGGAGGTTTCTACTCGATCAATTGTTCTCAGTTCAAACTCCCAACCGAGTTTCAATGCAGCTGAATGTTCAAACGAATGTTCTCAATCGCGATAACAGAGAGCAACACTTCTTATCGCCGAATGTTCATTTCCTATCACCGAATTTTTATTTCGGTCCCTATTCCGTTGCTGGAATGTAGTTTTTTTTTTCGTCTAATAAATAATACAGTTGGGATCAAAAATGATTATAATCTGTGGTGAGATTCACAAGTTCTTTTCCCCAGTTGTACTATTGGAATAATTTTCCCCGTTACCTCGACGTGTGCGCGCTCGCTCGCTCGCTCGCCTCTTCTCGCTGCCGACGAGACTCGTCGAAGCACTCTCGCGTCTTTTTATTCGGCTGCGATCAATCCGGGATGATCAATCGACGATTTCTCAAGGTGACGATGCAAACGATTTCCAGGCCGGCCGCCATTGCGCTACTGCGCAGCCGGGTCCCCCGGGTTATCGGTTCCGGCCGCGACCTTATCTCGAGCGCGGCTCGTCCTCATCTCGCGCTCGGATTTTTGCGCAAAGTCTCTCGGTTGGAGCGTGCGTGTCTGCGGCTGACGGATTGCGTAATCGCCGACGACGCGTGCTGCCCCGCGGCTTTTTCGATTTTTCCTCGCGCGCGTACGAGCGAGTCGGCTTCTCTCCCCCCCCCTCCCCCTTCCCCCGAGAAGCGCCCGTCCTTCGCAATGAGTTATTTGCGGCTGATGTAACGGAGGATGCGACATACGCACGGGAGTTTGCCAAAATTGCTATCGCGAAACACGCGAACCTAATTCGCCGAGGCGCGACTGAACGAAAGGTACGCGCCTCCCTGGGCACGTGTCCAACGCGCCAAAACGCGGACGGGCTAATTTTTCGTCACCGGTGCTGACGAGACGCGACGCGTTGAAGAAGTAATACTCCGAGTCGGGCGTTTCGCTCGAAATAAATGTGCGAACGTAAGACGAAAGAAACAAAAGTTTCAAAAAAATTTCATAATAATTCATTCCCTATAAAATTTTCTCGTGCAGTTCTACGTTCTGATGAATTATTTGCAAAAACACTCACTTTCGTTCCAGACGAGATCGAGCGGCTCTGGATACTGCATGGGCGCTGAATTCTAAATGGGCATCGTTTCTGCATGCCGACTGCATGACTTTGGGCCAGTGCAGTCATGTTTCCAGCTGTGCATTTCTTTCCTGCTCCTGAAAAAACCGGATAATTCTGAATGGCCCATTATATCGTTCTCAGCGGGGCAACTATTGATGGAAACATGATTTTAGACCCAACCTTGAAAGTGCTCGATTTCTGATTCTTGAATGGTCGCACTATTATCGGCGGTCAACAAGTCGGCTGGATATTCTTTGTGTCCAGCTCCTTTGCAAACTACAAATATGAGAAAAAACCCGGTCGATCAAACACCTACACAGTTAATACATTTCATATGTTCCAAACGGCCCACATAAAGTTTTGGGTTAACACAATGAATGCGTTGAAAAGTAACACAAATATTACATAAGAAGTTAATACAAAATTAATATCCATGATATGTTGATCGACACATCGAAGTATAAAATATGTTATTTTAACGTTGATATGTTTCTCTTATTTTTGTTCTGGAACGTAATGGCACAGTTTAGTCGTTTAATTCGGAAATACCTGGTATGTAAGCAGAATGCGAGAGAGAGAGAGAGAGAGAGAGAGGGAAAGAGAGGGCACGCGCGCTCTCAGATAAAATTAAAACGTTCGAAATAGTCGGACTATAAATAAGAATCGGCTCGCGATTTATCCGGAAAGTTTAAGAACATTTCTTAGTGTATATAGTACGTAGCCATTCCGAAATTAGATGCTACGTAAGATAACGTAACATATATATATATTATGGGTTGTCCCGTACCAGTAAATATAAGGACCAGTCCTATATGCGTAATCTTAAATTTAGGTCGAATTGCCTGCAGAGCTTGGCGCGACTCCGACAACTTTGTCGCCGAGTCTGGATGATTGCACGTAATTATTTCTTTCTTTAAAAGTCAGAATACAACTATACAAACAATGATATAAAAATGTAAAATAAATAAATGGAAGCAAATTGACAGTAACGTTGTTACTCACTCTCTCGATCTTTTTCTTTTCCCTCGTTAAGCTAAATATCCAACGATTTTAAATCAAAATTACAGTATGGTATTTAAATCAAAGAACAACATTGTTACTTTATCTTCGCGCCTGATAAGACATCATTTAGTTCTCAGATGAATGTTAAATTGTAATCGCCGACGAGTCCCATAAAATTCTCATTCGTTCGATGATCCGAGCGTTGTTTGATTCTTTTTACGACTTATTTGTCTTTCTTTCTCGATGCTTACGGTTAAACCTCTCATATCTCTTAATGAACCTCACCATCCCGGAACTTCTATCGGGGACCTTATTGTAATGAGATTTATTTAGCTTGTAAACGAAAGAGATTCTCCTTCCGCGTTATACGAGAATTCCATCGTTCATTTGACGACAGATTTTTTGATTTCTTTATTTCTTTATTAAAGTGCCGATATTCAGATCTGGCTTTGAAACGAGCGCGATCGCAAAAGAAGACGACGATGTATAAACGATCCTTATTTATATTTGATTTGATAAACAAAATCGATTATGCGAAATAGCACGGCGATTATCCAAACAAGTCGATTATACAAAAATTAATTGTCGATTATCTGCGCGTACAAGTTGAGATTCATGTTTACGTCTCTCTTAACTTGAAAGTCCGATAATCGATAACGCGAACGTATTATCGCGAATTTATCTAACAATTAGCTAGCTCCCAACTAGTTCGAATCGATGTCCCGTTGTCAACATCGGCTTTCGCGCGAAACCAGTAGTATTTGATATATACATTTCTTGTCATGTTTTCAGCAGGATGAACTCGATCTCCAAGCCAACTAATATTTTGTTATTAAGAGACAATAGAATTACAAAATTAAAGAAACGGTAGAATTACAAAAATAATAAAATCCATAAATAAATAATTATATAACACATTTATCAAACTCCACAACGTATATCGTAGATTCCTATGTGAATTTCCACAAACCATGCGGATTTTTACATGGATTTCCACCATATGAATTCCTATATGAATTTTTATTATTCTATATGGATTCATATGAGTTCCCATAGATTTCTGTAAGACGTAGACTTCAAAAATTTTCCAACATGGATTGAAAGTCACGTAAAAATGGTTCGGCGGAGAATGGATTAAATTCGAAGCTAATTCGCGACATGTACGGTCTGAATGTGTTTTAATGCGTCGCATTCTTGGTAAATGAGACTTGCGTCATGCGTCAGCAGTACATTATATTATCTTTTGAACAAATATGGCAGCGTACGTTAAAATCGAAGGTGGGGGAGCATTGTAAGCATCGCGGAGGCGTATATTTGCGAAAAGCGACTGGTTATTACAAAAAATCATGGTAGAAACGAGTACGCGACAAACGGCCACCATTGTCGGCGATCCTGGTCGTGTGCGAAGGATTAAATGCTAAATCGTCGTGAATAGCGTTATCGCCGGATGTATTCTAGAAACTCGCAACCAAGACGAATGCAATTCACACCAGAAGTCGCGCAATAACTGTAACGCTCGACTACTGTATACGATAGTACAGAATAATAAAAATTTAATTGTATATTCTTGCTTATACGTGAAAATATGAGTCTTAAATTGATATTAATTTTTTTTTCACATAAACTTAATAACACGAACGTAAAAGCACGTACAGGCAGTGGATGAAAACTTGTGAGACTTTTATCCCGACGAGTTTCGCAAGGTTTTATTCAAAAGAAGAATTCGTTTCGCAGTCTCGAAGTTTCTTGGAATGAAATCTCACTAGAAACGAGTGAACATTCACTCGAAACGAAAATACCGCTACTCGGCGAATCGTAAGAGTGAAGTTTCACTTGAGCTTAGAGTGTATTCTGCAATCGATTCGAGTGAACATATTCCTGCGACAATGGAACACATCCGACTCGCTCTTCAATCTCGCGTGAAAGAATTTACTCGGCAATTTGGAGTGAAGAGTTCACTCGAATTTGAGGAACTCAACGGTCGTTCTGTTTTTCGAGTAAATTCACATTTAACCTAACCTAACCTAATCCTAAACGCTGAGCGGTTGCATCGGTCAGTCGTTCCGCGTCGCCGATTCTCGATGTCGACTCGGAACGACGAGCAGAAACGGAAACGTGAAAGAAATTGTATTACCTGACCCATCGGCGTTGTGGTAATACACACGCATCGTTATCAATCAACGGCGGCTCGAGAGACGCGGGTCACACCTGTTACACGAGCGCGCGCCGCCCGCTCGCTCGCTCGCCACGTGCCGCTCGCAAATCTTTCGCGACCGAGGAAGCAAGCCGGGGCTTCTTCCGCATACCGCCTTCACTTCCTCTTGCGCGACCTTCCTTCCATTCTTCCTTCCTACCTTTCTCACAACGACTTGTAACCGTCGGAAGACCGACTGCTGCGCGCATGCGCCGGCGCCATCTTTGCTCGACGTTCATATTTGATACAACGGGAAACGAGCGCGGTGATGCATAGAAAAAGTAGTCTTTAAATCAATGATAGATATTTTCATATACTATAAGAAAGAATATTACAATATTCTCAGGAGATTTTTCTTGATGTCTTAAATTGAGTAAAAGTAAGTAATACTTGCATCGATAAAAATTCAATTAAGTCAAAGTTAAAAATCTTCTGAGAAGATTATAATATTCTCGCTATAAGGATATCTATCGTTGATTTATATGAGATTAATTTTTTTTTTCGTGCAGGAACTCACACCGCGGATTATGTAATTTTTCAAATCAACAAATTTTTCAGAAGCATCGTTGTGTCTTCCAACTCCTCGACTCGAGAAGAACAGAGACGCAAAAACAGAACAATCTGAAATCTTGAAGAATTTATTATGTTCTTTAGTAAGATAAACACCATTGATATTCCATTTTTGCACTATTAGCGCAGGAAATATTGTTGAAAAGGACAAAAAGGATTTAAAAATGGAAAAAGCTATGATATTCTCTCCGTGGAGAAACAAATTTTTAAAAACGCAATTGTAAAAATTGTAAAAACAATGCAGTTATAATGTCCATTGGTTATCGACGAAAAATGAACACTCGGCATCCGTAAATACACGGGAAAATTCGATGCGGTAATATAACGGTATATGACGACACGAAGTATATTTAAAGAAGTTTATGTGGTTAAGAAGGCTATCTCCTTATCGCACGCTTCTTTATCGGAAATATCGTAATTCGTCCGAGATATTGCGATACATGAGACGTATTTTCCAGAATAAAGTCGTCAGACTTGTGAACGTGTCAGAGCAATTAAGTTCAGGCTCGTACGTAGCTTACGAGCTTTTCAAGACAAGATTCATCTACCTGACGAAAAAAAGGGAGAACCTTTGAATTCAGTTGTCAGACTTGCAGCAAAATTGTAACTCCTGTAAAAATCATGACAATTGAAGTCTCTTCCGTCTCTCGGGGACGGAATCAATCAACGACGGGGGGCGCTTGGAGGTGAGTCGCGTGCGCGTTCGAGACCCGTTGCGCTTATCTGTGCTTTATCTGCTTTTCACTGTAAAAGGAAAAGATCGACGGGGACCGATTAGTGAACTCTGCATTTATATGCATGTCCACCTGACAAGAAATAGATCCTCTTCGACAAGAACGATCGACGTTATCAGTTATACACGCAAATCGTGTCGTCGCAAGATTAATGAGCTAAACAGCTATGGTGCAACAGGCGCACGCTCACCTAAATACGTCACTGTTCTCTCTAGGCTCGCATATGTGGTATATATGTGTCGTACACACGCGCAAGTGTATATGAAGAAATACATTCCCGATTAATAGTGTCGCACGGTCAACGCGGTTCGCGCCGAGCAAAAACCCGAAAGAAGACTGCCTTGAATTGATAAATAATTATTTGTGCGTTTTCTCGAATCACGTATTGTTGGACTCGGTAGGCGCTCTGCAGAGCTGCTTACGTCACCTCATCTCATTACGTATGCGTCGTCATCGTCGGTCGTCGGTGATTATGATCGCCGCAAGGATCTCGCGCGATCCAACACGCACGCCGTCCTCTCGAAGTAGTTCAGGATCTTTACGTAATTTTATTCCGTATTAAAAGTAATCGAGTTGCGAATAGCCGAGAAGAAGTTGCGACATCTGTACGTCGATGCAACGACCGCGAGTTTTTCGCGGACCGGCAGACCGTTGATCTAATTTGTATCTGGAGAGACATCGCGAGGAGAAGCAAACGAGATACTAAAACGGTTCGACATTTGGATCTTTCTGGAATTATCCGCGAAATCCGCCTTGGACGAATTTCTCTTTCTCAGCGATATAATTTAGCCGGACTTTTATTCTCCTTAAATGGTGAAAGTCTAAGTCGTTGCTAAGCTTATCTATTAAAAAAGTAAATGTCTGATACATCCCTTGAGAAGTTTCTCCTGGAAATAGAAATCGTTTTATTTGAAAATATATTAATCAAAGGGTCATTCTCTCAAGAGAGACAGGCGAAATTCGACGTGGTGTAACTTGGGTAAAAACGATGATAACGAGACGGTTGAAAAAGTATTGTAAAATATTTAATGTTCAAATGTTCGATGAAGTTTATCAAGTTATACCGCGCAAATACGTATTTTATACTTTGCGCGGCATGCTACTGCGTCTCTTGATTTTCAAATTAAGCGCCCATACAGCCCTCGATATGACCATCGTCATGTGAACAGAATAACTTTGCAACAGTTTAAAGGTCGTTTTACATTAGTTACAAGCCGATCGCAATCAGACGCGCAACCCTTGTCGCGACAGCCAATCAGAAACGTCAATAGCACCATTGATGCTTCTGATTAGCTAACAGGAGTTACAATCGCCTAGTAACTAATATAGAACGAGCTTAAAAGTCCGTGTCTCACTACGGATTAAGATTGGACTAAAATTTGACCAATCAGAACAAGCTTAATTAAACTTGAGTTTAGTGAACTTTGCCTAATTCGTCGCATTTCAATCCGATCACAATCTGTACTATGACACGGGTTTTAAAGCTATTTTTTTCTACTTAATGCAAACAATATGTCTTTCTTGTAACAAATAATATTTGGAAAAGTTACCAAAATGAGTGATTCCCTTCGACGAGAGGTTATTAATAGATTTCTTACGCATAATAGTAATTCTATTCTGAGGCTATGTTAAGGTTATGTTATTTTTTTTATGTTAACCATTATTAAATTCTTTTTAAGGTAAAAGTACCAATACTCACATGCATTTAATTTGGATATTCTTATCGTTTTAGTTTGTAATTACAAATATTTAAACTTTCAATCATAAATATATATACATACATTTAATATATGCGTATATTCTATGTTGATAATTTAAAATATTTGTATTTAAAAACCAAAATAATGAGAATGTTCAAGTTTAGGTACTCCGAGTATATTGATATTTTTGCCTTTATTTGTGATTTATAATAACTAAGCGAAATGTAATAAGTTATTTATTTGTAATTCTTAGAGATTATAATTATACAATCTCTGAGTTCTAAGAATACAACTACAAATAAATTTAATTATTGATGACAAATATGCTTGAAAATATAACCACAGATAAGATTTCAAGATTATTTTTTATCTAAACATAATTCATGTAAAATTATATTAACGTGTTAATTTTATCGATGTCATTAATTATAAGGAATATTTATAACTTCAATAAAATATGTTTATTTTTTTTTTCATTTGTTTCTCTTCTATTTTTAGGTATTGCGAGTATTCAAACAACTTCACAGAACACGATTGAAGACATTTAAAGATGATGAATATGCATTGCAAGGTAATTGCAATTGAAGAATTTCTACTTATAGCATGATAATTTTAACATGTGGATTTATTCTTAACAAGTATAATATTTGATCATATTCTTCAGTTGTTAGAAACAAGATAAATGAAGAATATAGAAAATATAAAAATGTTATAAACACAGCAGCTATTGAAGAGGTACATCTATACACAATTCTGATATGCAGAATGTTCATAATTCATATGAAACATTGTAAATTCATTTAACTAAATACACATATGATTATTACGATGTCAGTTAAATAGATTTGCACAGGAAGTTGAACGCGGGGTACGTACAACTATTATCCAAGCGGTTGAAACAACTCCTGGAAGAGTAGGTAATAAGCTTGAATTATAATTACAGAATTTATACATGTGTGTATGTGAATTTTATCAATTGAAATTAAATATGTGGTTTCTAGAGGATAAGCATTATAAGTAATAATACATAATTGATAATTGTAGGCTTATTATTGTTAATCTTGAATAAGTACTAGGAATAATGTTATATAATTATAAAATCTGTATTACATAATTAATGAATTATAATATTGAATATACATTTTAGAGCTACGATTAACTCCAGATGTCCTAGTGGATAATGTGCCATACAAAGATCAAGAAGACAATAAGCCAGGCAAAGAAGAAACCCAAGCAAGTTCAAGTTGCACTTCTAAGATGCCGAAGGATACTAAGTGATGAAAATTAAAAGCAATTTATAAGCACAGGCTAGTGTATTCGGTTATTTGAAATTATTGTAAAATAGTTGTAAATACCACACTAGCTACGTAGTATTTGCATGTATATGTCAGGTGTACGAAGATAAAATAGTATTTCTAAGTTATTAACTGTGATTGAAGAATATAAGCTCAGTTCATAATTAAGGCTCGGCTTCCTTCGCTGGTTATATTGGTTTTATAATGTGTTATGGTGTTTTTGATTTGCTGACTCGACTTTGGCAGTGTTCCGATAATCTCAGCTGAAAGACGAAGTTCGAAAATGAGCGGTCGCCATTTTTCGTTCAACTCGAAATATTTTGACGAAAATTAACGACAACGTTAATATAGCTGATATAGTTAAAAACTAAAGACTTCAAGCTTTAAAGTGGTTTTTGAACGATCTCGACAGCATCATTATTGCGGAAATTACAGCTTGTTGAATTTCGCTTATGTTTTATTACAACGGAAAGTACGTCTGACCAGCCCTTGAGTCATACTACTTGAGAAACAGAAATACTTCTGACTCCATCGTTTAGTCATATCACGACTTCAGTTTCTCGTTAAGTATAGTGGCGGCTCGTAGCGGAGGTTCTGGAACTAAATTTCAGAAATGACGGGTCTCTCTCTCACTGAAAGAGAGAGAGAGAGAGAGAGCTAACTGTCCGGAATAGACTCCGTTTTTAGTAGTACTGTCTATAACACGTGAAAATTGGCTATTTTCGATAATAACGTACTTATTGAACTTTTCGTGACTAATTAATATGTTTGAAAGAAAATTAAAAGCACTCGGTTACTTGGAATGGGACAAAGTTAACGGGAACAGTGAGTAATTTCTGACACATGTCAAATAACCTATAGGACATGCTACCTTGTATTTTGTTACATATCATTAATACTTGCAAAATATTATGAAACTCAACTGTATCGTTTTATTAATAATACGTACTAAAATATTCATTTTTCTTCTCTCCTTACATCTTCATGTAGTTGAACACATGTCAAACTTGATACATTTTAAGAATTACATTTCTAGAGTCAAGCATATTTAATTCCTCGCATAATAAACAAGTGCTTATTAGTGGACATAACGGAAATAATATTTCAGATAATCAGCACTTCAGAAAAGTAATTGTATGGTTGGAAGATCAGAAAATACGTCATTACACAATAGATGATCGCATGCAGTTAAGGGATATTACTTCTCCGGAATGGCCGAAGGTGTTTGAGAAATATTGTAACGAAGTCAAATGTCCCATAACTAAAAACACAACTGATCAGTTGGAATGGTTTATAGGATATGCTGTTTGGTTAGAGTTTGGAGATGATTGTAAGTATGGATCTGTTTAACATAATACAAAATTAAAGGTACAATATAGATGTTTGTAAAATACAATAGTTTGTAAGATAAAATCGTTTAACTAAATAATAGACAATCTAATAAAATATATATCTTATTCCACTAGGCCAAAAGTACAAGGGAATCATAGGAAGCAAGGCTAAAGTGATTAATAAGGGAGCCAATGTACCTAATGTCAAGTCCGTAAATCCCCTAGATAATTTAGATTGTAAGTAAATCTTACACGTTTGACAATATTTCATATAGAAATATTATATGTAAACAACCAATTAATATCATGCATTTTTCTTTTATTTCAGTTGATAGTAATGCTTTTAAGATCGGAGTTAGTTCGATAGCAAAATTATTAAGAGTACCACAACATTCTGACCATCTTGTGACGTTACAAGCATGTAGCAAACTTGTGTGTAATAAATTGAATGTGGAGACAGTTAAGCAACGACCCAACACCATGACTGCTAAGGGTAAATCTCTGACAGCAATGACTATAGGGCCTGGCTTTAATATGGGTGACATAATGTTAGACAACGCTGCCAGAGGTCTTTCCTTGTTGTACATTCAAGATCTCAGAAACCTCCAGACAAAGATTAATGAGACGATTGTCGCTGTGCAAAATATAACAGCTAATCCGAAGACTGACACCAAGTTGGGAAAAGTCGGTAAATAAACGGCTGGTCCTGTATGGTTTATTCTGAAAAGGCATATACTCGATATTTTCGAACGAGCAGTGTAGATTGTACTAGGAAATCAGGAAAATATTCCGGATCGTATATATATGTCGTTAACTTATCGGAATTCGTTTGTATATTGTTAAACGGGGGATATCCGTCGGAATTGTAATGTGAGCATTATTAATTTATTTCCATATTCTGTTAGTACGTTATGTCTGAATATATCGATTTTGCAAAGGAATATAGTGTAAAGTTTGTTTCCCATTCTACAGAATCGATATTTCTCACGTGTTATCTAAGCACATCACGTCTCATCATTGTAACAAAGAATACTCAGCTCGTGCAAAAATAAATCAAAGTTATCCTTATGTATTAACTTATGTATGTTTCATAGAAAAAGTAGAACATTAGAGTAATAAATCGCATTATATCAGAGTGATCTTGTTAATTTATTTAGAAGTCGGTGCATAGGTGAAATTTGTATACCGCGAAAATCGTCTTGTGTTTAGAGTCATTTATTAATCGCGAAACGTTCAACCGTGTCTAAATAAAATTCACATAGACTATATTCGCGAAAAATATACATTTTATAAAAGAATAAAATATAAATTTATTTAATATACATATGTCGTGTAAAGGTAAATCATTTACGTAGATGCATATTAAATCGATTTGGTTTTACACAACCTCCTTGCCATTTTTTTCAAATTAATTGATTGATGCGTGTAGTTTCATGTACGAAAATGGTAACTGAAGTTCTGAGGGCTGAAGTACATCAGGCCATTAGAATGAAAGAAATGGTTCTGTTCTGCAGAATCGTGACGTTGTCGATCTTACAATCTAAACGCAGTACAGAAAAGATCTATTGTGTGTATATGTATATATATACGTCATACATACATTTTAATACAAATGCATATCTCGCACAAAAATGGTTGTTAGAAAAATTACACGTCATCACATCACATAATTTGTTACGACGGATTTTTTTTATATAAGCGTATCTGAGCGTAAACATAAGCCGTAAATTATGTATATATAATGCTAATAAAGAATGTGAATGGGTGATTTCTTTTATAAACGCGTACAATTGTTTGTCAATGTATTTCGGAAATTACCCGCTCGCGGCTCTTCGATTTTATTATCTGTCTGGTACTCACTAGAATATTCTAGAATCCATTAAATATAAATTACTACATTATATATAAGAAGATACGAATATAGGAATGTGTATAATAAATTATGTTTTCTTATACATACTCGAATGGTTGAGAAAAGATCTGTGTAGAGATACTGGAAGGCGATTTTTTTTTATTCGTATCCGCGCGAGTTAAAGTACTTCTTCGCGAAGATAGTAGTATCACAATTTCTTTATGTGCTAAAGAGAACCTTCTCAATCTGGAACGTGTATAACAACTGCACACGGGAGAGGTAACAAACATCCTTTGCTTTCCAGTAGCTCTGATATATCGTAGGCGAGTATAACAGTACTAACAAATCTTAAAATAGTAAAAAGCGTATCTTTATTTAAATATTATCGAGAATCATATTATTATTCTCACCGATTCCTTTCCGATATTAAAAGCATATTATTCGTTGATAAATATAAATATGTGATATAGCAAGCACCATGCATTTGCTATTGGCTGTGTCTCGTTAATTGTCAATATATTCGTACATGGTACAATATATATATTCGTATATGGTACAATATATATTAATCACTCGATATTTTGTTTAGTTATAATTATCTTAAAAACTCTGCATGCCTCTTATTCGTTTCTCTAGAAAAGGAAAGTATTGCGTTATGTTTTTTTTTTATATTAATGGAATCAGGTGATCCAAGGGAACCGAATATGTATGTATGTATGTGTCGTAAAATTATGCATATTTATAAAAATACGACACACAAAGAGTTATCACAGAATTTGTGAATATCAGTTTTGTTAATATCAAGGTGGCATGTTGAGCATACGTCTGGTACCTTATCTATTCTCTCTTTTCGCTAATATTATGAAGGATTTTCATAAAAAGCCTGTGATGTGATATGTTCAAATATGATTTCTATTTTGAGACTTTACTTAAGTTATTATGTGAATACTTAAATATCATACAATGTACATGATTCCTTTCTGCCACAGTTTTGGATATTGTGCTAAAAATCCAATTATGTGTATCTCATTTTGTCAAATAGAATCTCGAGATGAGAAACACGTAATAATATAATAACGTAATGATTAAAACAAGAATAATTAAACATTCTTCTCCCAGATGAACATCATCGAGTTAATAATTGACAATTTAATCCTATATTCAAGACAATATTAAATTCTTTAAATATACGTATCTGTATTATATGAAAATCTGTATAATATTCATCGTTGAAAGCAGTTTCTAAAAAGCCAGTTTATTATAAATGCCAATAAGCATAATTTGAAATAATTTAAATATATTTCCTATGTAATCTTTATATTATTAAAGAAATGAGAAAAAAAGAGAGAGAGAGATTCTTTTTATCAGCGCATATTCTAATGTAGATTATGCTTCACCTACTAAGGCACTCTATACTGAAGCTTCATCGTGTAATATATTATCAGAATCGTTACGATAGTTCGGCAGAATATAATCCCTGGTTGTAAGCCAGACCTTAATTTTACGGCATAACAATCTTAATGAAGTACGACGATACCCATCCTCGTGATATGGAAAGAAATATAAATTTACACGAATGATTTGTACACGCAACTTAACTCACAAAATTCTATACAAGTATTATACGAATGCCTCTGAAACAGGTGATTTGATTAATATATCGTACATACAGCTCAAACATTTCAAAATACAATACGTCGAATCTCACGTGTAACGATCCAGCCACGCTGATTCTCGCAAAGCTCAGCTTTACTCAGAATTCTCAATTTTACTCAAGGATCCCAATCAATAAGAACAATATGCTTAAGTAAAAATGTGAGCGATTTTATAAATATATTGTAATTTTTGTACACATCACGATAACAGCGATTGCACGGATAACGTTACACAACAGCACAGAGAGAAACGAATGTATATATAGCAACAGATATAGTTATTTGAAATCTTTTTGTGCTACGTCTGTTTCTTCGCACAATAAATTATAATAATATGCATCGCGACTCCGGCGGATGTTTCTTTTTCAGGAAACGAGGAGAGAAAGAGAAAGTTGTTTCCCTTCTTCTTTGTAACAGTGTAAAATAACATGTAGATGGTTACGAAAGTCTACATCTATCTCGGTTTCCAGAAGGCACTGGTTGTAATTCCCGTCTGTTCCTCTCCTCGTCCTGCATGGAAGCCTGGAGGGCTCTGGCCAATGCCTCGTCTTCGCTCATCGTCCCCTGAAGCCGGCGAAACGAGTTGCCGCTGGTGCTGTTCTGCGACACCGTCGTCTGGGCCTTCTTGTTCAGCGATTCCAGTCTGCGCAACCTCAACGCCTCCTCCGCCCCGATGCAGGCGTGATCGGTAGGGTGTCTGTGCTTCAGGCAGAAATTGGCACCGCACTCGCTGCACTTCACCTGCACCATCTCCTTCACCTTACATCCCTTCGATGAACACTTGTTAGAGAATATCTTCCTGCGATTCTTCCCGAAATCCGCCTGACAGTCGTTGTCTATATGCGAGCCCACAGCCAAGTCAGGTGGATCGCCCCGTTTTATCGGTATAGGAACGTTGCACAACGGGCATACAGGCACCTGCACGTTCTTCTTGTATGCGCTGGGACAGCTGTGGCTCGTGTACGCGATGTGATCCGTGCAGAAGATCTCACCGCAAGCGTCACACTTCAGGGGCAGGAAGTCCAAGCGGTGGCATGTACTCTCGGAACAGTGTTCTCCCAGGTTAGGGAACTCCATTTCGACTGCGATATGCCGAGGGTTCCACTGTAACACACGTGTCAACGCGTGACGAATCAATCAGACTCCCACTTCCACGGGAAATCAATCGCTTCGTAGTGAAAATGACAAGCGAATTTATTAAAATACTTACGATTGGCGTCAATATCTAGTGAATTCGCTCGCTTTGGAGGTACACACAATCTCTACAACTTACCTTGACTCAGCCAAAATGAGAGACGAGCTCGTGCGATTTCTCCGCAGTTCTCTCTCGGGTATCGCGCACAGGCAGGTTTACGAATGCTCTGGCTCTTCGACAAGGGATCCTCGACATAAGAACAGGCCGACAACGCTCGCGCAATATGTCACGCACTGACGAGGTAGACACGTGTGCCCCTTTTATATATTCTCGCGCGGCGGTGGAAACCGATGACCAACGATGATTGACGATTTTCGGTTCTGCACACACCCCCCGGGAGAATGTACGAGAATGTCATCGAAATCGGGAAGAGACGGAGATAGGAAGAGAGCTATCGAGCGCGGTGGTATCGCCGCGACGGTCGCGCGGAGACGCGAATAAATAAGGCTTGCCCGCGCGACTCAAATAGGATTGCAGAATTTGAAAACCTTCGGGGAGATTTCGCGTGAAGAAGTTCACATGCGCGTAAGATTGATACTTTGCTCTCCAATATTTGATCTTTCGATATTGGCATGTAGCGACATTTGAACAGGAATATCTAATACGGTCCGTAAAACTCGTATCAGACTACGGTGGAAACGAGTATTAAATATAAAAGTAGCTTGCAAAAACACTTCCTTGATTTTTATATTTCCTCTAAACTTAGGTTTCTAATTTTTATGTCGATATTTTTTGTTTTGGCGGTTTTAAGCAACTGGCAACATGTAAAACAGATGGATTCGTAGCTATGTCGAAACAAGTGACGATCGCTCCAAGTATTAGGATGGTTCTTTCAGAGCTAGTCTTTCGATTCAAGTTTCGATCGACAGATTTTACCAGTGTGAGCTGAGGAAAAGCAAATTTCGTATTATGCCGTATTTTATATTATTTTGTTTCATATTATATGGTCATAGATGATGTATCACCGATATTTCGTCGACGTGTCTTGAGACGAATTTCGTCAGAATCATCAGACGATGAGAATATTAATCCGCGGAGAAAAAAACAATGTTTGCAAGCACGTGTAAACGAGAAGAGAAGTATGTTTTCTATTCTTTTATTAATCCTCTTGATATAATTTATGTGTTTAAAAAGTTGATTATATCTACGTTTGACTTTTTTCCAGCTCGAAATAGATATCGATGGTCTCAGAAAGTAAAGCTCTCACGGAAAAGTGAACTTTTATGGTGTTTAATAATAGAGAAAAGAATGAACTTGACGATAAAAGTTGTTTGAATACGCTAGGTTCGATAGTTTTTTAGATATGAACATTTGTATAAGAAGAAAATGAAGCAAATAAGTGCGGCTACTTGCGTATTAGAGAACACATCGGGTGGGCCGCAAAGTGTCAATGATACTCTTGACTTGTTTCAATATTAATATCGAGACTTACTTGCATCATACATCCCTAGCCACGTTTGAACTGCGCGCTCCGGAGATGCAGCATTGCGCGGCCGACTTCATTCCGTGATTCGTCGTTCCCTGTCGACTGCGATGCGCGTCTTCGGCGCGAGGAAGCCCCAAAGGTAGAAGCGTTTACGGTACTCGAAGAAAGCACCAGCCGTCAACCTTGTCCTCGGATCTCGAAGCGATCGTGAACTCGCTTTCTCTCTTCCTATCTTTATCGCCGTTGAGGAGTGGCGTGCGTGGCGAATCTTGCCAACTGTTTCCGGCGGCAGGGCGCCTCGCCGCAAGGTGACGTTTGCGAGACACCGTCGTCTCCGAGGTGCGTCACGAGGAAAGTTTATCCTCTAGGAAGGAAAGCATAAAAGACCGTGGACGTCGATCCAGCAGGAGTGTCTGCATCGACGCACGCCACGAGGCCGAACGGTAAACCGGAAACGTCATTTGACAGATCGTTGGATTCATCCTAACGAACGACGTAGTCGCCTCTTGGCTACGCAGAGAATTCGTTCGCAACTGCGTTCTCGTTTGGTATGCCCTTTTTAGCTCAACCGGCTGCATTATTTCAAGAACACACATTGAAGCGTACATACAAGCTTTGGTGTGTGTAAATTTCTTTAATTAGTGTAACCAGTTCAAGTAAAAAAAGACGTCGTATCGCCTATTCAGTAACAAACAGCTGGCTCTCTTTTGTTGTTTCTAAGGTTCCTCTCGTATCCTGCGCTTTTGCTCATTCTCCGCTGAAGAAAACACAAAGGAACAGGACAAGATGGGTCTGACGATCAGCAGCTTGCTCACCCGGCTGTTCGGCAAGAAGCAGATGCGGATACTGATGGTCGGTCTCGACGCCGCTGGAAAGACCACCATACTCTACAAGCTGAAGCTTGGCGAGATCGTCACCACCATACCCACCATCGGCTTTAACGTTGAGACGGTCGAGTACAGGAACATTTGCTTCACCGTGTGGGACGTGGGCGGCCAGGACAAGATCCGGCCGCTCTGGAGGCACTACTTCCAGAACACCCAAGGTCTGATCTACGTGGTGGACAGCAACGACCGGGAACGTATCGGCGAGGCGGAGCGCGAGCTGGCGAACATGCTGAAGGAGGACGAGCTGCGCGACGCGGTGCTCCTGGTGTTCGCCAACAAGCAAGATCTGCCGAACGCGATGTCGGCCGCCGAGCTCACCGACAAACTCGGCCTAAACTCGCTGCGCGGCCGCCATTGGTACATACAGAGCACCTGCGCCACCCAAGGACACGGCCTGTACGAGGGCCTGGACTGGCTGAGTAACGAGTTGGCCAAAAAGTGATAGCGCCTCTCACTGCAGCCGGTATTCTTAAGGACAGCTTCTCATTCATCCGGGCATGGACGTAGAGCGAACAGGGATTCACTCGGTTACCATCATTGTTCAAATTGTATGTCGATGTAACGCTGTGCGATCGCGCGCGCCGGTCGACGCGAGGGGAGAGACAGGCCGACTACCAGGTTCGACCGCTTCTTTTTTATCGCTCAAGTACAACAGTAATTCGCGTTTTCAACGTGAACTCGTGCTCTCGTTTCGCGGCAGAGAAGTGAAAGGGAGAGAGGGGGAGGGAGGAGTCGTTGCGTCATAACAGATGTTTTTCCACAGGGATTGTACATAGGTTTTTCCTTCGTAGGTTTTTCTCTCCTCGTTGAAACGTGAATTCCGACTTTTGTTTTCGTTGTTAGCAGCAGGCCGCCCTCTGTCGATCACTGGCCGGTTCAGCTACATGAGAAAAGATTTATTTATTTTTGCCTTGTTGTTAGACGAAGAACCGGAGCTGAATACACGATTCGTCGTCCACTGTCCTACGTCCGTGCTACTCTCATCGGGAATGACATACGGTGTGCTGTGTGATGTTACACGTGCAAGTCGTTCGCACTGTCCTGTTCTTCGAATAAATAAGTGAATTTTGAGATAAGTAACGTTAGCCGGTAAGACTTGTACGATTTAAGTATTTGATTATTAACTTTAATATCTTTCAAAGGAAATATATATATATATATAAAACTTAACCGGAGTTGCTCCCGTGCCGAATCTTTTTTTAATAAGTCTAAGCTGTGTACGAGGTGTGCTTAGAGATATGATTGTCACAATAAAGTCTGAGGGTGAATATGAGAAGGAAGGGGCAGTTCACAGATTTCTCCAAAGTCAAATCTCTCGCCAGGCTCGCATTAACAGTCGTTTGCTTGAAACTTGTCTCAAATGAGATACTCAGGTCCGCAAGAATAGTCGTTATTCGAAGCATGTCTCAGGTGAGACACTCGAATTTGAATTCAAAATTGGATGTAACTTTCTCAGTTGAATAGCGTTCACAGATATATTGTTAAATATGTCATACAATTCAACTGAACAACTTGGATCTGAAAAAAAAAACATCTAAATTCAAATCCGAGTGTATCTCGCTCGAGGCAAGTTTTGGATAACTTGAAGCAACACGTCAGTTTTACCAGATTGTTAATATGAGTCTCGAACCTCCGAATCAGAGTCTTTCGCGAAGTTCAGCGCGTTCGTGGAACATCGTTCTCGCTTTCTGAAAAATCTTCCAACAGCGTGAGGGGCTGCAGGAGAAGCGGGCGGGAATCAACATTCGCATTCTGCTTGCTCGGTAAAATTAGTATTGTCGTTAACTGAATGTACAACTTTATTACAGTACAAAACAGTACAGTATAGTGCTACACAAGTACTGTATAATGTATCAAACGATCTGTTAATGTACGGTGTTACGGTATTCATAATAACCACGGCAATCTACTTTTCACTTCTCTACTCCAAGAAACATGGCAAATAAATTACGGAAGGAACGCTGCTGCTATTTACGAACTGTATGTACAATACGGTATCTTAAAATACAGCGGAAATGAAGAGTCGTTGAAATCGTTTAGCGCGTGCGCGCGCCCGCCCGCGTGTTCTCTCTCTCTTTCTCTCCCTTCACACAATGTTTAACAGACTTTGTATTTATTCGGCATCTTATCTCTTCTCTCTCATAAAGTTTATTTATACAAAAAAATATCTGATCTGTATCAGCGTTCACGTCGCTGGGCCTTTTATTACATCATTAATACAACCGTCTGTATAAGCTCGGGGGGGGGGAGAGGGAAGTGAGGGTTGATTGCGTGCCTCAAGACGTAGCGAGAATTACAGAAGTGAACGAATTTACCAGAATATTTATAATTTTATTGGCCAACAACTAGTGAATTTGCTCGCTTTTTTGTGATTCCCACTACGTTTTGAGGCGACCTCCTCTAATGTATATGTATATATATATATATGTGTGTACATATGTATACATATATATATACATATGTATACATGTAATCTTTTTAATGTGTCATTTTCCACTAGACCATTCGAGCGCCCCTCGATGTACTCAACGTAAAACTTTACCGCGAATAATCGGCGCTAGCTCTATGTTGGCGAATTTTCTCGCGTTGCGATGCCTAAAGGCCTATCTAGACGAGCATAATGCATATGCAGGAGGAGCAATCATGTATCTGATATAGAAAACACCCTTTTTCTGCACGGATCACGATTGACTGATTTCCTTCTTGCGCGATAACGCAAGTTCGTCCGGATAGACTTTCTCGCAATGAGTATACCGTTCGCATTACGTATTAGAGAGACACGGTTCGATGAAGGGGAGGATTACTCGACGGTACAAACAAGAAGAGAGCGAGGTATTTACAAGAATGGTTTCAACAGCAGAGGAACGATCGACGCGACGGGGAGGAGAGAAAGGGCTGGATCGACTCATTTACGCACCCAGGTGTTCTTCAGCGGCGGGGTGCTGCTCTTGCCGAGCGCCGGGAAATGGTTCTCCAGCGTGTGACTGGACATATGCGCGCGAAAGTCCGCGCCGTTCTTCGCCACTTGGCCGCAGGTCGCGCACACCTCCAATCCCTTCGCTTTCCCGGCCAGTTCCCGCTTGTGCACCTTAAACAGCTCCTGCTGCTTCGCGATGTCCGGCAGCAGCACCAGCAGCTCGGGAAAGACGTTCTCGAAGGCGTGGCTGCCCATCACCTCGCGACAGTGCGTGTAGTACTCCTCGGCGTCGCAGGTGCCGCCGCGGAAGAGGCCGCTCACGTAGCGGAACTGGTCGATCTTGTCCTGATGCAGCAGCACCTCGTTCAGCCGCGCCACCAGGCAAGTATTGCGCCTCTGAAAGTCGGGCGGTGACGCGTACGCGTGACCGGCGTCGTCCGCCGGCGGCAGGATAGAGTAGCTCTCCCCGGAGCTGCTGGTGAAGGTCAGGCCGTTGCTGCCGTGCAACCGGTCCAGGCTGTTGTACTTGACGGAGAAGCCAGGCGGCGGCGGCGGCACCGGCGAGCCGAAGCCGGGAGGTGGGTTCGACAGCCTGCTGCTGCTGCTGCCGAGGGCGGGGAAATCCTCCACCTTGTGGATGTTGTTGTTGGTCGTGTTCAGACTGTCGATCTTGAGCTCACTGCGCTTCCTCTGCACTCCGTTCGTGTCGCCACCGCCGGGTTCCGCCACGTTGTTCTTGTTCTTCTTCTTGTCCTTTCTGCTCGCGTGCTCCGTCGTCTTGCACGCGTTCGAGCTTTCCTTGGACTCTCGCGTCTGCTCGGCGTCCCTCTTGGAGGCGTTCGCGTTGGAACTGTTGGACTCGTTGCCGCTCGAGCTGTTGCCGTTCGAAGTCTGTTGCTTCACCTTCTTCTTCTTCGTCCTGCCCTTCGTCAGGTCCGTCGTTGTTTTCGCGTTATTGTTGGTGGAAGCGTTCTGTCCCCACGTCGGCACCACCGTGATCACCGATTGCTTCTTCGACTTGGACGACTTCGAGAGGCTCGGGAAGTCTTCGCGGATCGGCGACGACGACAGGGGTGGGACCTTCTTGGAGGCGCTTGTCGGCGCGGATTTCGAACAGGTCCACTGCAGGACCTCCTTCCACTGGGTCGAGTTGGCAGTACTGGTAGACGGCTCGGAGTTGCCCAATGCCGGGAACTCGGAGTCTATGGACAGTTGAGCGGGACGTATCCTGATGTTCGGGCCGGACACTCTGGTGGTGACGGTGCCGTTAGCCTCATGGTTCACTTGGATGGAGACGTTCGACGAGGCCTTCTGACACTGCGCCATCCCGGCGGCGTTGCTGGTGACGCTGAAATTGACCGTCTTCGAGATACCGGCAGAGTCCGGGCCCAGCGCCGGGAAGTTTTCGTCCGTCACCGCGAGCGGCTGATTCCTCACGGTGCTGCGGATGGTGACGTTCCCGCGGCCCTTGCTCTGCGTCAGCGTGGGCACCACCACGGGCGCGGCGTTGCCCAGCGTGGGGAACTCGTCGGTGCTTTGCACATCGACGGACGGCTGTCTCACGAAGAACGGCGGATCGAACGACGAGCTGGGCTGCTGCTGCTGATAATCCCTGCTGTTGTTGCAGTGCTCCCTCGTGTTCCTCGACGTCGACGCGCTCAACATGCCGCGTCTGTTGATGCGGTTATCGCCGCGCGGCGCCAACGTGAACTCCAGCTCCAGCGTTCTCGCCTGCTTCGCGGCGGCCTTGCTCAGCTGCTTGCCGTGGACGCTGGCCTTGTGCGCCTTCAGGTCTATGTCCGTCCGGAAAACACTCGTGAACTTCTCCTCCGCGCACACCCCTTCCTCGCACAGGTAGTGCTCTTGGCGGAAGTGCTCTCTGAGGTAGTCGTATGAGCTGTAGTATTGGTGCAAACCGTCCGCGTCGCAGAAGTGACAGTACAAGTGGTCGCGTCGCAGGTGTCGGTAGAGCTCGTCGTTGTCCATATAACGCTGGTCGCAGAACTCGCAGAGCGGGTGGCCCTTGTGACTCTTGTCGTCGAGGTCGCCCTTCCGCCGATGCTGCGCCAGGCTCGCTCTCGTGTAACAACGTCTCTCGTGGGAAAATATCTGCGTTCGGAGACAGCCTCGGTTAACAGACGTCATTTCACCGATCGACATGCAAAACAGACTGTGTACAATAATAACAATCATTTATATTGCTGCGTCACACCAAACAAGACTGGATTCGAGCAAAGTCAATATGGGCTGATTTAAAAACCGAACGCGTGTATTTGCAAGTCGGTATAATCGGTACATCTGTCGCTATTCGTCACACATATGTCGGCGTGTAACTTCTTCTACGAACAGCTGGTTGAACAACTCTTGTGACCGTTGCCACAACGGGACTGGACATTCCCCGCTACACCGCGAATGCAACAATATCAATGAGAAAACGTTTTGGTTACACAAGGTAAAAATACCCGGATCTAAATCTGAACATTCTCATTATTTTCGTTTTTAAATACGAATATTTAAACTTTCAATATAGAATATATTATGGATATTTGTTACATATATTGTAAATGTATATATATTTATGATCGAAAATTTAGATATTCAAAATTGAAGATTAGGCCGATATTCATACTCGGATCTTTTATTTGAGACTATTTTAAGTTCGTCTTCAAGTGCTTCGTAGCCAATGAAATGAGCCGTACAGTATCTGAAGATAAACTTAAGAAGGCTTACATGTAAGATCCGATTATGAGTATCGGCCTAGGAAGGTCTATAAGAGCCTAACATCAAAAAAACCTAAGGTGTATTTTTTTAATAGTCATATATTTATATACAACATGTATACAAATATGACTTAAAAAAACAAACACTACGCCTTATATTCGGCTCTTATCTATTATGCTTTTGCTATGCACTAGATTTTTCTAATCTTAAACTTTGTTAACTACATAGAACTTTAGATTTCTTATCTTATCAGTCCTTTCAGTATTTTTGTTGTGTTTAGATATTCGTAGTTAAACAACTAGAATGCTCAGGTTTAGACGCATGCCTGGATATTGATACTTTTACTGTAATAAATAAAATGAAATAGCGCAAGGACAGAAATAAGAAGTTGTGTGGCAAAGAGAAGATGAATGTCTCACCTTTAAATTTTCTACACATAAGTCACAGTAATGCAGCTCGTGTTGATGTCGCATGTGATCCTTCAAGCTATTGAAACTACCAAACACCTGCTTCTCCTTGCACATCGAGCACGTGTTGGCTAATAAATCGTTGAATTTCTCTTGGATATCCGGACTACCAAAATAGATAGCGTATTGGTCATCTATCAGATTCCCTTTACATAAATAACGGAAGGGCTTTATCTCTCGCGTGAACACAACTTTTGGCAGATCCTGGCGACAGATGGGACACTCGTTCTGCCGGCAGAGCACCCTCATCCTGGTGCTGCATTCGTAACAAACAGGATGCTCGCACATACCGATGCTGTAGATCTCAACATTCTTATAGCACACCACACAGGTGTTACTGTTAAAACTGTCGTTAGTTCCAGACATCTTGGTGATGCTAATTATATTAATTTCAACCCCCAAGTTGATTGTCTCTGCTCTCACAATGAAACGTGTATCATCCGTTTCAGACCGTTGCCTCTCCAGATGGCGTCGAAGACGAGGACTGTCTGTACTAAACAGTAGCTTCACTCAAACATGCCTCCAATGACAAGTTTCAGGCAGCTTCGTCAATAGACTAGTTTCCTAAAACAGAGCACAGTGTGAGAACAGTGCGTCGTGTATTTTCAGAGACGACAGAGCAAAAGAGAGAGAGAGAAAGTGCAATCACGAATCGCTCGCGCATTCGGATGTGGTGACGCGTATCGCTCGGTCGACGTCACGCGACGCAATCCTCGAAAATATCCGGTCGTACCGAGAGGATCCGTATTCTCCCTCGTCGATTCGCTCGCTTCTTTCTCTCCTTCGCGGCCCTCCGGTCACGATCTTCCGAAAATAGATAACGGCCGTACGGCGAGCGTGGAATTGGCAGCGGTTTCAGCAGATGGCAGAATTTCTCACAACGGGCGAGGTTATCTGCTTCTCAGGTGTCACACGGGAGATCCCGCCGCGTGTATACGAGCGAGCAAGCGAATGATCGGCTGGTCGATCGGGCGTTTCGGCCGCGCGGAACGGAACCTCGTGCGCGAATACGAGAGCGAGGGAGAAAGAGGGAGGGAGAGAGAAGGAGAATGACCGATCTCGTCGAGGAAAAGGCTAGAGGAACTCTATTTGCACCCGTGTACCTGCGTACCGTGTCACCTCGACACGGCGGGGATGGAAAGCTCGATGGGAAATGCTGGCGAGCGAGCTCGGAAACGGCTCGATATCGACGCCGCGCGTTCCTCCGCCCTTCGAGTGGAGATAACCGTTGTAACAGTTCTCCCCTCCGTCCCTCGCCGCCGCTCGTCGTTATTCATCTATTATTTTCGGAAAGATGGAGAGGGTTATCATCCATCTGTCACGTATTTCTTTCTTTCTCTCTCTTTCTTTTGACCATTGCGTTATTGTCGATCTGTTTACCGACGGTCGCACATCTCGCGGTTTGCCGCAAAAGCTGAAAAGTCGAAGCGAATTTTCCGACACCGGTCTGAAGAAAAGTTCTAGAAGAGGGGAAGCACAAAAAGTTCGTCTGCTTTGTCCTTGAGAGTCATGAAACTCACAGTCATTTGATTTGCAATTAATGGCAATTGCCATTTGCCTGTTTTCTACTATCGTGGTTTAAATATCGTTTAAGGTGACTTCCACCAACTCCGGTTAAGTTAACTGATGGTTAACCGACGCTTGGTCAGTTAATTGACTAATGCGATTGGTCGTTTAAGTGTCGGTTAATCGTCGGTTAACTAGAGTTGGTGAAAGACATCCTTAATCGTGTCATGACCTCGGGATTGATCATGGCTTCCCGGAAAAAAATGATTATATCCGATCAGCCTTAAATCCGACTACGGATTCTGCCGACAGGTTGCAGCAACACTTGCCGCGCGACGGAAGTTCACGCGGCAGCCAACAAACTTCTAATTTTTACCAAAAACCGTCACGTTGATTGGCTATCGCGCGAACTTACGCCGCGCGGCAAGCGTTACCGCGTCCTGTGGGCAGAAACCATTAGGATTGTAGTTGAATTGACATTTGGCCAATCAGAGCAAAGTTCACTAAACCTAAAATAATCGATCGATTGGTTGGTCAATTTGTTCACTGCTACGTCAGGCTTAAAGCAAGATTGTAGACAAGACCGAGGGATATGTACCACTCTAAATGTAGTAACATGGCCAAGGATGACTGTCAAGCATATTTGTTGGGAATATCATACACAGGAATATATAAAAAAAAACCATAAGAAATCTTATTATAAACGAAAAAAAAGAGTATATCAACAAGATTGTCTTAATCAAATATGAATATTAAGTAATAATATTGGAGCCCTGTAAAGAAACTCTCAGGAAGTAGATTCAGCTACTCGGAAAGCTTTCTTCCCCTTTATTTCATGAACCGATCGAACAAGAACTCGAAATGACCGTAGAGATACAAGTAAAATCGGAAGGAGTAGAATGTTTTTAAATTTGTTTATTAAAACATATTATACACATTATACCGCTGGGTCGTCTCCCTTAGTGGTACGTGTATAAATAAGTTGTGCATGATGTTGCACAACTTGTTTAATTAAACCCTTCTGTTGAAGTTCAATTAGGGCCCTTCTTGCAAGTGACCCTCTGATCTTCAATCTTTCGCTGACTATAGAAGGTGTGATCAGTTTATATTGCGGCACCTCCTTCAGCAGTTTTTCATATGTGGCCTTGTCGAAAAGTACTTGATTATTTAACTTGTCACGTACTTTTCCTTTTGACCACTTCTGCAAGTATAGAAAAGACAACATTGTGTTAAAATCAATTGTAACATTACATAGGTGATATATTATGAAAGATATTCAAATCTCATCAGACTCATTAAATCAGTTTTTGCCTCCACGACTAGTCAAGTTAATAAGTGTACATCATCTGAGATCTATCTATCAAATTATCGAAAATATGCCTATACTCTAAAATTTTATGAGACAAGTGGTACTTGATAGATCAATCGGGAGAAAAAGATTTCTTTCGTTATAACTGATTAATCAAATGCTATTCTATTCATTGAATAGGACTTTGTAACCCAGCCTGCAAGAGTCGGACAAAAAATACAGAAGGTTGCTGAACAATGACATCTTCCGCTTGCTGGACAAACTGTTATACCAAGTGAACTACCTAGTTCCAATATACTTTCTTCCTTTTACATGGTCTTATTGTTATCAAGATGATCTTTAGTTTGATTTTTTACACTAGTATAATTATCATGATTGTAGTACTGAGATAACAAACCTTTTTCTTAGCTTTTCCGCCAGATCCACCCTCCTTCTTTTTCTGGGTCTTCTGTGGTTGCTTAGAGGAACTCTTTGTGTCCTTTTTAGGCGGCTATAATGATAAATCCAATGTAAGACATGTTTTTAGCCAAATATTTTGGTTATATTAGAGGATACTAATCAGACTCATTAAATCAGTATTTTACTATCATAGCATTAATCTGGAAAGTCGATAGCATCATGTAAATTATATGAAAAGGGTTATATAGGAAATATCTTAAAAATTGAAGAAAATATTACATATGCAAATGAACTCTATGCCGGACATTTTGAGTGAAAAACGATGATCGATGGACAATTATTTATATATATTATCGATCTGTGTGAAATGTAAGTTTAATTTATTTAAAATTTATAAAAATGACTAATAAACAGTCGTTACGATTCATTCTCCGAGTCCTACATACGTGTCAAAAGATAGGTTATATTTCTGTCGACAAATTTATCATTCTTTAATCGTACTCGACGCGACTCTCGTCTTTTAGCAAGAAGATATAACGAGTAATTAATCTTTTCTCTGAAAGCAAAATTAAGGCAAAGCGATTATATTTAATAGACCATATACAGCACGTGGTTCCGGTAGTTATGTCTTATTGCGAACAAACTGTTGCCGGATATATTGCAATTTTAATAGAGCATTTTGAGAGAATCTCTTTTTTTTCTCGAAATATATATGGATTTATCGTGAAATTGTACGAGATGGTCTCGAAAATCACACAGTTCACTCGCGAACACTTACCATGATGGCTGATCTAAAAAGAGGACCTAAGAGCAACAACGAGAAAGGAAGCTAGCCCAGTGGTGAAATAATGCATGAACGAACTACGCCGCTCACTGAGCGCTCGTTGGGCTCTTAGGTCTGTTCGTTTTCGTTGCACCGCTGAACTAGTGCAATAAGTTGAAGTGAGACAAGTATATATTTTCTCACTTCAACTTATGCACTATTCAGCCCTGCAGCGAAAACGAACAGACCTCTTGCATCCAATTGATAAATATTCTCTCAGACCTTAAAATATACTCCAATCAGATGCGGTTGTAATTGATTGCGTTCGACGAGCATAACGTTTGCACAACGATTGAATAATTCACCAACCCGTAGTTGGTTTAAATTTAGAGATCTAACAGTAAAAACCAATAATCGCTGTCCAATCACTGATCGTTTGTATTTTCTGAACGCAGCCATTGATTCCTGCACCAATTGATTCTGAAATAAATATCACACACGCGCAATAACGCAAATATGAAATAGGCCCCATTAAACTCGTATCAGACTATGGATTGGGGATTGAATTGAATTTGGCCAATCGGTGCAAAGTTAATTGAATTCAAATTTAGGGAAATTTAGTGAACTTTGCACTGATTGGTCAAATTTCAATCTCTAATCCGTAGTCCGATACGGGCTTTAGTGTATATAAATTGCTGTAATATCGGCCGGATTCAGTGGAAGGAGCAGCTCAAGAAGCGCTTAATGATTATTGTCCGGAATTGTACTCTTTTCGTATAGTTTTATATTAGTAAAAGAAACGAGGTACAACTCAGCGGCTAGTCAGGTGGAATTTTAATTACAAGCAGTAGAGAAGACTTTTCGAATAACGCGATTTCATGACCGGCTAAAAGAATCTTGTCGCGCGGGCATCAGTAGAACAATGAACTTTTCGTTCTCAAGTAGTGTAGCTCGACGACGGGTGAGCCGCTTCAGGAGTGGCCGGGACAGCTGTCGGCGTTGTTCCAGCGTGTACATCGCGCGCGATCCGGTTTTCCGCGGATCTGACGGTCGCACGATATGAGTCGATCAGCGGATTAACGTCACCACGCGGACGTCGTGAATTCATCGCGATCCGCTCGGCGACGAGGTGAGTCCAGGGAGGGCCGGGTTTGAGGTTACGTTCGCCGTCAAACTCGTAGACGTGTCACACCAACCGCGAGACACGGTATGTACGTGTCGCCCCAATTATCAGATACCTCGTCCGCCGCCGACAGCTGGAAACGTACGTTGCGCTTTAATCAACTGTCCGTCCTACGTGAATTCATACGACTCGTATCGCAGTTAACCCCGTACGATTTACGTACGATTGAATTAGAAGTGTTTTCCCATGTACGTATTATATTCGTCCCTGTGCGAGGAAAATCACATATTTCATCGTTTATGACTTATACGTTTCAATAAGATGAGAAAATTCGTCACTGTACATAATAATTTTAAGTCATACAGCATTGCACGTTTCGGCATAAGAAACACGTGTCAGAGACGTCATTCGAGGCCAAGGGGTTAACAGTTCGTATTACTGGAGTTCTGTGAAAAATGAAAAAAAGAAACTTGGTCATTCGATAAGAACACGTTATCGCATGTGTTTCTTCCATTTCTGAAAATTCGTTGTCAATGTTGGATAATTGGTTTGACAGAGCGTGTTGCTAATCAATCTGAATATTGTAAGGTACACAATGTGGAGGCATAGAATTTTGTGAATTTCCCAAGTTATATTTCCACAATACCGCTTTATTGTAACATCCACTCTAATGTGTCCTGTTTCTGAGCTGACGGCATTCCATCTTACAGTCAGTTGAAGAAAGATACTTTGGTGAGTTACAGGATGCATCTGATATTCAACAGAGGAAGTTGTTTCTCGCACTGAAGAAAAGTTTGATTTCATTTATCTGAAAGGGAAAGGAAATTACTGGTTCTTATAAACTAAAATTTAGTTCTTACAAGCAGAAATTCTCAATCTGTTATTTTCAAGCTGAATTGTTTGAAGAAATTTACGCACACTGCGTATGTAAGCTTCATATATTTCAATGCGTATGTGAATTTCTTAAACTAGTGCAGTCTTTTTTTTTCCCTAACAGCAATTCTCAGGAGGCAAATTTTTTAACTATCGGACCGTTCTACGGAGTTAAAGGTGTCACAACTTTTCCGACTGTACATGTCAATGATGTATACGAAGTAACGTATTTCTCTTTCCAGACAGGGCTTTCCATTTCGTACGATTAACGCTGGCGCGATCGTAAGATGCTGCCACTAGCGCACAATTCGCGTGGCCTACACGACTCACGCTGCAGCTTCGGCAGTCGGGTGAAGGAGAAGCTGCTGGGTTGGAAGCGGCAGATCTTCTCGGATGAGAACACGCGGAACCTCTTTCTATTCCTGATCCTGAACCTGTCGTTCGCGTTCGTCGAGCTGCTGTACGGGATATGGACCAACAGTTTGGGCCTGATCTCCGACAGCTTCCACATGTTCTTCGACTGCACCGGCCTGTTGTTCGGCTTGGCGGCGTCCGTCATCACCAAGTGGCGGGCGAACGAGCGCTACTCTTACGGTTATGTTAGAGCTGAGGTGCTGGGCGGCTTCGTGAACGGCCTGCTGTTGCTGTTCATTGCCCTGTTCATCATGTCGGAGGCGGTGGAGCGGGCGATCGAGCCGCCGGAGATCAAGCACGAGAGGCTCTTCGTCGTCTCTGTGCTGGGACTCTTAGTGAATTTAGTAGGGATATGCGCGTTCAAACACGGCCATGGCCACGGTTCGGCCGGACACGGTCACTCGCACTCCCATTCGCACGACAATCACGGCTATTCTCTGCTGAACCACCACGACTACACCCACCATGACATCGAAATGGAGGCGTCGTCGTTCAGCGGTTCGAACTCGCAGATCATGAAGGGCGTGTTCCTGCACATCCTCGCGGACACCCTCGGCTCCGTCGGCGTGATCATATCGGCGCTACTGATGCAGATGTTCGGCTGGATGATCGCCGACCCGATCTGTTCCATGCTCATAGCAGTATTGATAGTGTTAAGTGTCGTCTCGCTGATGAAGGACTCGTGGGAGGTACTGATGCAGAGACAGCCGGTCGCCCTGGACCGCGTGCTGCCGCAGTGCTACAACAAGGTCACGCAGATGCCGGGGGTCTACGGCGTGCAGGAGCCACACTTTTGGACACTCTGCTCCGACGTGTACGTCGGCTGCCTGAAGCTGGAGGTGGCCCGCGAGGTGGACCCCAAGTCCGTCGTGATGAACACGCAGAAGATCTTCCAGGCGGCGGGTGTGAGGCAGCTCACGGTCCAGTTGGACTACGCCCCCATGTGATCCACGAGAGGCACGCGTGTCGTCAAGTGTTCTTACCAGTGCGCCGGGGGTGTGTTCGTTTGCGGGGTATGTCACAAGGAGGCGCGGAACACCGCGGTGCTGCAGAACGTCTTCGCCGTGTTGAGGGTATGCGGCGGCTGTTGTTGCGCCCTGTGCGTGCTGAACGCCGGCGAGTACCGTCTCGGATTGCAGATCGTTTGAGAGAATCGCATGCCTTACTGTGAGTGGACGGTCTCGCCCGCGCGATCGAGGCACATCCCGAACCGAATTTCCCAATCAAATCCATTTGTATAGGCTTAAGTGGTCGGCGCGCATGGGCAAATCATCGATGTTCGCTCATTCAGGATGCGTCGTACGAGTTTGCCCGACTATCCGCTGTCGGATAGAGAATTTCTAACATTTTCAAACATCAATGATTTTGCCCTTCCCTTACGTAAATGGTAACGTAGATTTGAGCCGTGCGAGCGCGTGAGGGCGACACAATGAAAGAAACAAGGAATTACATTTCGATATGCCATGCTTCAATTTGCAATATAAAGGAATTCGGAACATTGTCGAAATTCTACTTCTTGTGCACTTACAGTTTCACAACCACTCCGCTTAACTTAATCGGCTGATTATTCCATTGACTAATCGCATTTGTCGTTAAGCAGAATTGATCAGATATAACCACGGTTGATTAATCACAGTTGACACTTAACCGGTCAATTAAGTTAACTGAAGGTTGTGAAATTGACCTTAATAATAGTTGACTGAAAGTTAACCTTCGAAATGTCTAATGACCATCAATATATAAAGTCGATTTGAATCGGTCGTTAATTATCAAGGAAATGTTTTAACGTTGTCATTGGGAGAGAGTGAAAATCGTATTAAAACTTCTTTATCTTATTCCTTTTATTATGGTTTATAATTATATCTTAATTATAATTCCTTATTTCTTTCAAAATGTGGGCCCTAAATTATCGTATTGAAATTCTCGATTGGTTAATTCGCTTGCCGTTTGAGTCTTGCTGTTTATGTTTTTCTGTGTGCCAAGGTTCTTGAGGCTTTTGTTCCCCCGCCACGATTGGTAGGATGAAGCGAGTAAAAACGTGTTAAAAGTTCTTGTGAAACGCATCGAGGTGAAACTTCGATGGATATATTCGTAAAATGAATTGCGATCAAGCAGGTCCGTGAAAACTCGCACATTTTCTTTTGCTTCGATAATCGACGAACAGATGTAAAAGAGTAACGTGTCTTTTTTAACTGTGCAATTTTTTCACATTAATTTCACAGTTATTTATTGATTATTATAGCAGAAAGAAAGGAGTATTTCGCTCGATCGATTACGACTATGAACATGTTCTTTTGTTTCGACGTATTTTGCGAGAATTGATATTTTCTCACTTCTGATCATCAATCAAGATGATCGCGACGAGAGACCAGGAGCCTTAATAGGTTTTCTAAGGCGCGATTACACGAATCCAAAATCCACTTCCCGTCGGCATTCGTACGAATCTAGGATGGTCGTTCGATCTTTTTTTTTTTTCGGGAATTTATGGACCGAGCGTTTAATCGCTGTTTATCATCGTCGTAAATGTCTTGCTAGACTAACGGGCTTATCTCTGTTTGTACGGACTTCGGCTTGTAACCGTTCGTCTGTCTGAGCATTTCGCGGACCTAAGCATACAAACATGTGACTATAAGTAATTACCGTAAAAAAATATGGACGACAAAAAAGAATTTTATCAGGCGAAGTTATAGTGTTTTGAAAGTTGCACCTTTCGGATATATTTATTTTTCTCCATGTGCATGCACGTCAAGAATTTAATATGTGGGCTACAATTGCTCATTGACAAATATACAAGGCATTTTATAACATGTGGTCACTTTAATAACTTCCTTTAAAGATAGAGATGTGTGAAGACGCTAATCTAGTTTGTAACGAAAATTAAATTTGTAAAACACGAAGAAAGGAAAAAAAAAAACGTCTATAACTCGGAAACAAAGTCATATAGGACAAATGTTTGTACTGTGAACTTTTTGTGTTATTTTTGTGTCGTGAATCATTTCTGAATTTATGTCCACATATTGTGAAATACCCTGTATAGTTTCATAACAAAAAACAGCTATATTGACCTCGAAGTATCCTTAATATATTCATCTGGAGAGAAATAAATATAAAAAGTGAGAAGGGGAAAAATAGAAAAAAAATCGAAAGATCTCGAACTGATCAAATTTTTCCCCGTCATCAATATTTTCGGGGATATTATTTTGGCAGGCATTACGCGCCTCGTATAATTCAGTCGCTCGTGATGTAAGTCACGTTTAGATCAGTTTTTTTTTTGCAATAATACTTTAAGGCGCGTTTGTAATAAGGACATTTTTTAACGGGGTCTCCGAAACGACGTGCACGAAGGGACGTGTCGTTTGTACACTGATTGACATTATTCACGCATCCTCTGACATTTAATTATAAATTTGGAATTTGGAATATATATGGAAAGGCGCGTCGAGAGATCGTGGCCATAGGAAGTCGGAGCCGACAGCTGTCGCAAAGCTAGTCAGTCATCACGTGCATCACCGTGCGCGATAAGAGTGGAAGCGTGTCGTAATGTGACATGAACGAATACTTTTACACACATTTTTTTACACACTCGCCGCTTCATAACGACCCACAAGAGAGATTGCGATTTGTATTTTCCGTCCGTGCTAAGTATTATCTTCCTTGTTTCATCGACACGCTAAGAATTGACGACAAAGGAAAAAAGAAGGAAAGAGTGGAAAAGAAAACGCAACTTAGCATGCATGAGATCATTCGTTGGGCGATTATTTTGGTCGTACATAGATACGAATCGTTGTACGCATTTTTTACCGTTAAGTAGACCGACGTCGATTGTAGTCGAATAAATGGAATATCGTGAATCAGCAAGACTAAAAGAAGACCGATTGCCTGCGATAGCGTTTACTGACTAAAATATTCGATGGAACTCGTATATACGTTCTGAATTTTTGGAATTTGCTTCGCTATTGTAATGTTTTTCTTCCATGATTTAATAGTGAACCCTCTTGATTTACGGAGAATCCGCACGAACATACCTGCTTCCTTATTCTGTAACTTGTAACGAAAATTTTGTTATCGTTAACGTATCGTTGCACAACTATTTTATGATACATTGTCTGCAGATTTGTAACGCATGAGTCATTTTTGTAATATATACGGAATAAGGACGCTGGGGTCGGTCTTGAATCTCTTTCTCAAGTACATGAAGAGAGAGAGAATCTTATGATAAAAAATCATTAGAATTTTTGTAGCCGAAAAACATCGACATTTCGCCTTAATTTATTATGCTTTCGTTTCATAAGAGCTGTTAAAAAATTATATATATATACAAAGCAAGTTATAATATTCTCTTTCTCTCTCTCTCTCTCTCTCTGTGGACTCGTGAAAAAGCGAAGAACGCTTTCAAATGTTTTCGAGTTGGAGAATATTTACTTTTCGTGAGTTTATTTTTCATAAAGAGAAGTTTCGGTGCTCTGGGTCTTTCTTTGAATCTTAATTTCGCGATTAAGATAACGGGCGACTCGACGCGTGCTGATTTAGAAGTAACGATTTCATGGCATTTTTCAAGAGAGATAGGAAAGTAGCGACTCTTTCACATTCCGCGTATATCATGTAACATACACACAAAACACAAATAGAAGTATTATCGTGACGTTACTTCCAATTGTGATGACGCGCAAACTCTATCGTTCATTACGCTAATAAGAATATCGCGACGGAATTATTTCGAGGAAGAAACTCTGTGAAAACACAGTGTCATGATCACGTTTATCACGATTCAACGACGACGACGATTGACACGTTTAATACATGATTCTGCATAAACGCCGCAACTGTGATGCGCGACGGGGAAAAACGCTGTTTTTGTTACGTTTTACCAATATTTTCGTTTATATATATATATATATANTGTGATTTGATAATTATAAGAGGAAGAAGGAGAAGAAGAAGGGATATGTAAATAATAAAGATACGTACTTACAACGGATTCTTCATTTTTCAACAATTTCACAGCTTGCGTTCACCTATTTGAGCTAGTAGTTCTTATCGATGTATTACTGAAGATCGGAAGCGCGATGTGCAATAATGTCGCCAGTAATTCTCCGTAAATGATTTGTTTATCAGCGATCTTTTCTTAGCCGCCCAAGCGGCTACAAAAATCAACCAGAAACACGTATCTTTTGAAAACTTATTTCTCCTGTATATTATTTCTTTTTCTTCTTTTTTTAAATATTCTTTTGAATTTTTACAGTGAACATTCATCTACACGGAGAGAATTTTACAAGAAAAGTTACTGCAGAATTTTGTAACCAAGGGAAACATATTGACATTCTGTCTTAATTTATTATCCTTTCGTTCCGTTATTTATATTTTAGGGACTGAAGTTTACTATTATAAAAAAACTTATTTTTTGTTCCTTAGCAAGATAAACTCTACTGGTTTATTTTTATTTCACCAAAAAAATTTGATAAAATTAAAGAGAGTACATATGAGAAAAAGCTAGAACATTCTCCCTGTGCATTCTGATAGCCTTGTTTCTTACAATTACAATGAACAACACTTGCAGAGTCTATTATCTCTCGGCGATAAAACGAAATGGAAGTGTCAACCTTTATCTAATCTCATTCGTGAACGTCCCGAAGTTATTTCGAAGTCGTCGAGTCGCTGCTTACGTTATCAAGGCGGAGCTTCAAACACATATTACATTTATTTGGAGGATATGTGTACACATATAAATACATAAATATTTATAATAAAATGGATTCCGCACGTGGATTTCTCGCGGGCGCTCATCTCGCCACGGTTGTCGTGTGTGAATTTGCGCATGTATACATGTGTGTGTGATTCGCATGTTGGTTGTGTGTAACATCAGCTTCAGTCTTGCCGAGTGTCGGTTTCCTCAAAAAGTGAGCTCACAAATGTAACAGACCGCGCGCCGGTCTTGTTCCTCCGCACGCGCGATATAATCGAGACTTCTTATGTACATAGTAAACTATCAAAAATGAGAAAATTCGTCGTTCGAGCACTTACGCATCTAATCGGACAATGAAGAGTGCCGATGCTGGTAACAATGCCCGAGAGAGCACTGCGAAACGAACACACACAGCGGAGGACTTTCTCCGGTGAGCGCTTTTCTAAATAATAAAAGCGTCAGTCGGTGATCGAACAAAGTACAAAATATAGGCCGAAGTGACGAATCCGCGAGTTTCACCAAAGTTTCCCCGTAATAAACTCCCAGTGAGCAAAAAGTCATAGGTAAATCGCCATTGCAACGTTAATTAGTTAATAGCGTAATATGTTTTTAACGTTGTATGGACCTCGTCGTTTTAATAACACTTCAATGTTTTTAAAATTATTATTCAAGTTCTGATCTATCAAAAATGATACATAAATATTTTTTTGTAAATTATTTATAAAAAGATATATTAACCAGAATTATTTTTGAAATCTTTATTAATATATGTTGAGAGAAAATGTTCGCACACACTTGAAATCAAAGTTTGAATGTGTAAATTACCGGGCAGTTTCTCACGTATTATGATGGTTTTCGATCAATCACCTAGCTCGACGAATTTTCCGGCAGGCGCTAAATAAATGGGGTATCGCGAATCGACAGTGAAAAATTGACGTCTGCGACAGCGTTGTGTGTCGAAAATGTTCGGGAAATATAGTATCCATCATGATTAAACGCGATTGCATTCGCAGGCTTTCATATCAATGGACGCAAATTGGAGTTTATTGACCAACGTTGAATCGTGAAAATTTCGAGATCTCTTCTTAAGGAAGATATTACTTTAAAATCGGGGTATTTTCGAGACTTACGTGTAACAAAATATTGTGAGTAAAAGTAATGATGAGATTTTTAACAAAATTGACAAAACGAACTGTGAAAGAATTTTCCAAGAATATTTCGATCTCCAGCAAGGATTTCGTAAAGTCCTTTACTTCCCCTTGTTCTTATTTTACCCCGTTCATCTTTCTACAGATGTTTCGTTACAGACGACCGGTCGCCTTGCGTAATTCAAACAAAGACTTCCCCGCACTTCGCTGATCGGCTGATCCCATCTTTATTATTTTCATTGGTGTGGTTCCAGTTGAATGGCAGTTATCGTTGGTGCAATTGATTACAATCGATCGATCACGCTGCGTCGTTTTTCTCGTGTAAAATACGGTCGGATTCGATCGGGGAGACGAAGAAGGCCGCATTAACGTCGACAAACGGTATCCGTCCAGCGTGCATTCGGCGAGATTCGTTCGTGCGATGATATCGGAAACGATCTTTCTCTTGTTTTGTCGTTATTAGACGAAAGACAGCCGGACGATCGCGCTGAACGCGCGGCACGAGTCTTCGACAGTAGTACTAGGATTTTGGCAGTTGTCTTATAATTACAGAATTAATTACTTTATACAATAATAATAGCCGTTTCTCACACACTCCTTATTGTAGAATTATTCGAGTATTTTTCCACTTTCTTTCCTCCACGCCATCGCCGCGAAACGTAATACATACGCGCGTATGTAGCATTTATATGTGTGTACACATGTGTGTGTGTGTATGTGTGTGTGCGTCTAGATCGTTTAAAATTTACTCTATAAAATTTCTCCAAGTCCCCAACAACGCGCCACCTGGTAAAGCCACCATTTCGGTCCGCATTTCGCCGATCGATCCGGTCGGTCGTAACATTTAATAATAGTGTGATCATGATTTCTATCGCTAATAATATATTACTCTGAGTCGTATCTTACACTCCATCTAACAACAACGAACGTTACTTATGTAATCGCAACAGCCTCTTTTTCCCCTCCCTCCGTCGTTAACTATCCTCGTCTCGATCACTTAATAAGTATTTCCGTTTTTCCTCCCTCCTCATGCTTCCTTCTCTTTTTCCTTCTCTTTTCCCCGCCGTCTGAATAATTTCGAGGAGACTCTTCCGCGGCACCGGACGCCTCGCTACGATCTTCGTTCATCCAACGGGGTCGACTCATTCTGACATTATTACAACGACAACATCTGAGTGAGTTGTAAAACAAACATTTGTCGAAAGCAAATATTTTTCACGAAAAAAAAAAACATACATCGAATCGTTTTCTTGTACTTGAGAAAGAACTTGCTCACACGGCGTAAGAATACGTAGAAAGACACGAAGAAAATTAAGTAAATTGTACACGTTTGAGTCGAATTGTCAATATCCTAATAATGATCACATTTTTTAGCAAACTCGTCCAAAAGCAACGTTATTCGCGTAAAACTAAGGACGTTCAAGCAAATGCTTCTGCGCTCCCGTTCAGAGTAATCATTTTATTTACATTCCTGTAATAAAATGTTATGTCGAAGGAAAATCCGTTGTTTTTTCCAATTTTCGTGCGGATATTTTCGCTTTCTTTCCCAAGGATAGAAAAATTCACTATACAAAAATGTATTTGGTTAAACTCTGCTAACTTTTTTTCGTAAAGAAGATAATTATGTGTTTAACTGAAGCTAAATGAAGTCAACATGTTAACCAATAACACATTATCTTCAAAGAATTACAACGAAATATATAGTGAAAAAAAGTTTTTTAGTTATAAAATATTGTAGCGAAATTAACGTTACGAAACGATACTTAAAACCACGTAGAAGGTTTTCCTAAAAAAATATCCCAATTTACAACAAAAGATCCGATATCAAAGAGAGAATATCCTACTTGAATCAGAATGTCGAAGGTAATCATCCGCCGGAAATTAACCGAACGCTCGTTTCAACGTCGTCGGCGTTGCGATCCCCTTACAGGCGTCGGATGAGCGAAAGCACGTCGCGCACCTCGTCGACTCGTTTTCTCGAGAGCTAACAATCGCTATAATCTACAGAGCTTAAATCGTAGGTGAGCGCGCCGACGCGCAGGAAACGAAATCACAGTAAGACGAAAATCCACAAAGTTAACGCGCTCCTTTCTTTCTTTTTCTCTTCTTCGTCCTCTCCTACTTCGTCTTTCTCGTCGTCCTCGCTTATCTCGCGCACGGCCGCCGATAATCGACGTCGACGCTCGCTCCGATATACGACTCCGATTCGTGGACCTCTTAGCAGAATCTACACTACATCGCCGTGCCGTACTAAACGGAGAGAATTTTATAGCGAAGGTTACTCTACAGTAACATTCTGCCTTAATTTATCATCCCTTCATTTCATACATTTACACTTTAAGAATTGAAGTTTACTATTTAAAAAATCTACTGCATTCAATCCAACGATCTTACATCGGCCGATTTCTTATGCCTCTTACAGGCCAAGTACCGACTAATCTTTTTTGTTAAATTTCTCGAAGCCATATTTGCTTCTTTTGGAATTTCTTAGTAGTAGTGAAAAAATTGTATGTTATAATTTGTCACGTTTCGGCGGCCGGATTGTCAATAGAGATGTTCCTCAGCGAGATAGAGTTTCTTTATCGACATTCCTGCGTCAATCAACAGAAAACACGATAAAATTTCAAAGAATTCGTATATATACATATATTAAAATTATATTTATAATTGTGGGTATGAAGATAATTTTTATACGAAGATAGAATTTATCTGAGAAATTTTTTTATACACAAGCTATAATATTCTCTCCGTGTAGAATTCTGTCCTGATTTCCGAGGATTTTGCTCGAGGGCTAACGGTACATCCTTCCCTTCGATCATCCATAGGATCATCTGATCCTCATTCTTCTCACGTTCGCTCTCTCCCTCCAGCTTCGCACACGGTGGATCCTCCGCGAAGAGATCAATACCTCCTCTCTTTCTCCTCTCTATCTCCGATCGACCGCCTCTCGGCGAGAACTATGCCAGGATATTTCCTCCGGTACACTGTTCACAGGCCTTTCATTTCTTCTTGCCCCGGCCGCCCTTCTGCACCTTCGTAATTTTCAGGCGACAGTTGGAACCTCCGGTGTACACCACTTCAGTCCGGCCACCCTCCTCGGCCGCGGTCACCAGAGCCTTCACCGATCTCACGTGCACGTCCTTGGCGCTAATCTCCAGACTAGTGCCGGGATAACGGTCACGCACGCATTTGCCGACGCTGGTGGCTTGCGCCTCCGTGAGCTCGACCCCGTCCAGGCATAACCAGGTCAGGCACTGCAGGTGCGTGAGGATCGTCTGCACGAACACGTGCTCCATCTGCACCCTCTTGGCGCTGTCGGTGACGATCAGGCCGTTCGCCCGCAGGAAGCTCAGGCCGCAGAGCTTCAGGTACTTGGCGATCTGCCGCATTGTCCTGTCGCTGTCCTCCAGGGTCACCCGCCAGAAGTTGATCCGCAGCGACTGCAGGCTGCGGAAGTGCGCCGCCAGGCAGCAGAAGAACTGTTGCAGGATTTTGTCGTCGATGAAGAGCAAGGAGCCACTGCTGCCGCCGATCGTCGACTTGTCCAGCGACAGGTCGAGCTCGCTCAACGACGTGAAGCCGGCCAAGAACGGCAGCAGCAGCGGCCCGCGCAGCGCCAGGCGATCGTTCACTGTCACCTACAATCAGAAATTATTCCCTCGGCAGACCTTATCGGGCGCAATTTGTTTCGTTCACGCCAGATGAACGCGTGTACAGGGCGTTCCAATTTTTCTCTCGCACAGAATATCTAGTTGAAACTAGTAAGGGGGAAAATCTAATTAATATTTTTAGTGCAAAATCCTTTGGTACATATAATCGCAGATAGAAAGAAAGAAGAAGAAGTGTTCGACGAGCAAAAAAGAAAGAGTATCGAAATAATAATTAGTATAATAATTGGTACATTCCTCTTGTGTCTTAATATCTCTCTTGTCCGATGAAGCAAATATTATTATTGTTATTGTTATTATTAAGTAACAGTACATGCTTTCTCAAGATATTTTGACGATCATTCGTTTCCGATTTTTGAATAAGGGGAAGATTTTGAATCAACTCTAGTCTTTATTATTTTTTCCTCCTTTTTGAATCTATCGAATGCGTCAAGAAACCGTGAAGGCTTCTTCTTGAACGATGAGCGATTGAGAATCACGGCTCTTTTTCGGGGACCGAGTCTCGGGGGAGGATAAACAGGATAGCGGAATTTTAATTTAATTTAATTTCGAGTGGTCTCTAACAGGTTTGCAGCTGAAGACTTTAACGTAACGATGTTTTTACTCTTTCGAGAACTTGAGGATATGAGTCTCGAAGCCGAGGAAATTTCATTTCGCTTAAATCTCCTCGAGTTTTCAAAAAAAAAAAAAATATATATATATATAAGAAAGGGAGAACAGTAATGGATTAAAACCGCCATAGTCCGCCATCAGCTTGAAAATCAGTATAAGTAAAGATATCTAATTAATTATCGAGAACGACCGGAGAGCTTACGACGATCTCGACGATCTTCCGTCGCGATGAGTTTGGCCATCGCAAATTGCTCGAAGAATATGAGCGCGTTCGACGATTTATTTTCGAGTCATCCTGTACAAAGAGTGTACAAAGAAGGGAGAGCGTGAGGTGGAATCGGGACGTCGTAATGCGGAGACAACGAAGACGAATGCCGGTACGGACCGTCCTTATTTATCGCCGTCGTGGCGCGGCCGACTGTAATTGCGCGTGTAATAGAAAATATATGAATTATAGATAAGAGATGAAAGAGAAAGAGAGAGAGAAAGCATGCCGATAACGAGAAAGATAGCGGGCATTTCGGCTACGGAATCGGTCCGTGAAATGAGGTAGTTACCCGAATATCGCCCTCTTTTTGCGAGAGTATACCACATCCGACCATTCGAGCGCACATTCGAACGATGCCGAAGACAATGGACCGCAGTTACATTTAACGTTGAGCACGATGGTGCGATTTTAAGTTTCACTTAAACGGCGATAGACGTTAGTGTAACGTTAAGTTAGGCTATCGGGTGTCCGATCGGTAAACTGCGGAAAAAGAGCTCGTTCGGTGCTCGAATTGCGGTGTAAGCCGCTCGATCGATCGATCGATATCTCTGGATATACGATAAATGTCAAAATTGTATTCGGACGAGGATCGTAATCTTGAAATTCCCTTGAATGAAGTTCATTCTAATCGATTGAAATATTTGTTCGTATGGATCAAGGCAAACAAAAACATATACTAAAGAAACCTTTTCTTACGAGTTTATGATTTGGCATCGGACCACCGTATTTCGCGTGAAACATGCTCTCTAAATTTCTTGAATCATTCACTCAAAACGAATGAAAATTCATTCGGAATACAAGAGTGAATATTTCGATCGATAAGAATGAATGTCTTTCTGTGACAATGAATTACGTTCGTTCTTCAATGTCGGGTGAAAAACTTCATTCACCAATTCAGAGTAGAAAATTCACTTCTGAGTGAGAAATCACTCGAATTTGAGTGACTCGATTGTCTCTCTACTTCGGAGTAAGGTTTCACTCGAGGAAACTCAAAGAGTACGAATTCTAACTTGACGAACGTCGAAGTCACTTTATACTTGTTGCTCCTTGTGATCGTTACGGCGCAAAGAAAGAAAAGAACGTATCCGTCGTTCTTACAAGACATCCTACCCGAAACGATATTTACACCTCGCTCGTTTCCCGTGCCAAGAAAGAAAGAAACACCCCCGATTAAATGGGTCCCGATTCATCTGCGTCTCTCTTTCGAGCGCGAATCTGCTCTCTTTCATTCGGAAATTCCTCGGCCAGATGTGAACTTTCTCTCGGCCGCGGTTTCGGGAGGTCGATATTGGTGAATAAGTGAGAGGACATTTTCTAGATTGCAATTTCTCATCGGTTAGGTTCAGCATTATTATCGGCGAAGGTGTAAAATTCTAGACGAAGGAAGGGAGAGATATTAGAATAACGAATAAAGTGATTCTGCGAGGATTTCGGTGGCTTATTATGGGAACGCCATACTTGAAAACTTTACCGACAAAAAATGCTGACATCTTTTTGCAAAGTTTACGCCGTATGCACAGAATTACAAATGCACAGTGAAAATATGCGCGAAAATGAATTAAAGTATTGCTCGATGTGTGATGAAAATGATTAAAAATTTCAAAATTGACATTTTTAAAACTGACATTTTTGTAAGAATAAATATTTACCTGACACAGAAATCCTGTAGCCTGTCATGGGTAAAAAAGTCATGAGTAAAAAAGTCGCAACATTTTTTTTATGAGTTTCACAATGCATCTCGTATTCATTACGAAAATGTATCTCCTGAAAATAACTAAGAAACAAATTCTCTTATTGGACACAAGATGCGTACTGAAAATTATAAAAAAAAGTGTCGCAACCATTTTACCTACGATTGTACATATTGAATGTGTCAATGTTCCAATCAGAAATATTTCCAATGTATGCACGAGAAAAAATTGCATGATTGTATTTATGTAACATAACATTTTGAGAATCACCTCTATCACGTTATCAACGTTTATCGAATTCATCTTTGGTATCCCTTTAAGCGGCCAGTCGGGAAAAATGCGAAATCATTTTTCAAAAGTGGGACGCATCATCCCCGTTGCGAAGAGCAACCGGGCTGCGAACTGTGCTTTGCCGCAGATGGAGAGAGAGAGAGAGAGAGAGCGCAAGTGAATATGTGTATGTGTGTGTCTACCTTAATGGATCCTGCCAGATCTCGGAAACACGACAGATAGTCTTGTACAGTCGGCGAGCTTGGTCAGAGAGGAACGGACGGACGGTTACATCTGTGTCTACTGTAAGCGCGATACCGTGTATGTGTTATCTTCTCGTAATTCCACCGGCCACCCGTATGCATTTGCATTGCACTTGAAGGCATATAACTGCACTGGCGAACAGTCGAGCCGTATAATGGGATTGCGTATGTCATTACGGCGCTGTAACGCCGCAAGATCAAACTTGTAACGCGCGGATGAATTAGACTATCCGGAAACTCGCCTTGTAATTATTTTATCCTCTGTGTCGCGGATGGTATTTGTACTGTGTATATGGATGTGCTTTGTGGGATTCCTGCCAGCTCCTTGACTTTTGAATGTGTAACTAATTTATAATCTAATTCGAATGTCATCGGCGCGATGATAACGACGAAATGAAATTTAGAAAATAATGAATTCATTCTCTCGGTAACATTCCGCATTAGTATACAGAAAAAGTAGTAGATTTAAGTAAATAATTACTTCGATACTCCTTAGTAAATTCTTACTTGGGTTAAATAAATATCACTTGAATGTAGCTATTTTTTTTACGTTCAAACAATATTTACTTCGATATATCCAAGTAAAAATCTGCTATGAAATATTAGAGTAATTATTTACTCGAATCTAACATTTTTTTCTATGTAGATAACAAGATTGTCTAATTACGTCAATTTGAAATCGAAATCTTGAAACAATATGTATTAAAATCATACATTAAGTCATATTAATTTCTAGGTCGTCTTATAAGAATAAAAGTATACAAGTTATAGCAACTGACTTTATCTTCCGTATTTCGATCATTGTACGGGGTGGTCCCAATATAAAGAATACACTTAAATATCTCATTTATTTTTAGTGATATGAGACATGTATTTAGGGCATAATTTGAATGGTTTCGAATACCGTGGAAGGAAAATTTGTTTACGGTAATTTTTCTCAATTATTTATAAAGTCCCTATATTTAAGCCTTATTTAAGATACTTATTTAAGATACTTAGGTACCCCTCATACACTCTGTATTACATGTATGTGTGTATGCTTTTGTGGGAACCTCTTAATTTCCGAATGCGCACCAATTTATCACCCAAATCCGCACGTCGGAGTGATATTTAGTCGGACACTCACCTGAAATCCAGCTAGTCTCAGAAAGACGATCGCCGGGCAAACCGACGGCGGTGCGGCTCGGAGCAACTCGGCGCCGGCGTCGTCGCGACGTCCTAATCTCGACAGAGGACCCTCGTGCACCGCCAGATGCAAGCGCGCATTGCACAAGCTCAGCTCACGCACGCTCGTGTATCTCAGCAGCTCCGAGAACACCGTCAGACTGTCGGATTCCTGTTGGAAAATCGAAGAATCCATTCATCTCGTGTGCCTGTCAGCGATTATTTTATGTTAAGAATATTTTATTTTGGAGCGATCGACTTCTGTCGCTGTGCGACCAATCTAGAAGATAATCCGGAAGATGATCTTCTTTCATATACTGACAAAATGAAAACGTATTTTAAGGTTTTAATGCGATAACATACCGAAATATGTCTATCATTATTTTTTTGCAATTTATTAATATTTCGCTATCATTATTAATCTATTTCTTCTCTCTCTCTCTCTCTCTCTCTCTCTTTCTCGAAATTGCATCCTTCAGTAAACGTTTCTACGAAGGAACCTGAGATACGCCGCCTCGAATTTGAGTTTCCGCTTCGAACAAAGGATCAAATAAAGGGTACAAGGGAGGGGACGGTATGAAGGGCTCGTTCATTCGCTCGCTCGCTCGCTGGTTCATTCGATCTTGGCGATGGACGAGCGATGCAATTTCATTATGCAGGAAACGTCGCGCGGGAGAGGCTTGCATCTATCTCACGGGAATAGAGCGAGAACGAAGGAGTAAGGAAGGAGCGGCGCTCTTCTCGCTTAGTTTGCGCACCGTACATTAAAGACGCGTGCGCTCATTAATAAGTTAGCCTTACTTTCGAACTTTGTGCGAGATTTATGCGGATCTCGCTGCGTGAACCAGGCCCGACTTCGAGACTACAACGGTGAATTCTTCCGCGGCGATGGTTAATACGCTGCCCCCGAATTATGTTGTTTTATCTCGACGACCTAGAACATTTTTCTCGAGATCTAATTGGGATCCGGTTTTTTTCAGAAAGCGACAAACTTTGATTTTACATAAATTCGAGCAAATTATGGAAATTTGCGTAAATTCAGGTTAAAAGTGTGATATTTTGGACTCGTGAGTCCAAGTGGCTAACGTACTAATTGCGATTACAATGGGGTGAAGCCACATTTGCTGGGACAAATTTGCTACTTAGAATATACGCTGCCTATCTGGAAGAATCTTGAAGAATTTCTATGCGGGAAGCTGTTTTTTCTATTCTATTTCACTCCAACGAGTTTGATAACGGGGTGGTAATTCTGGAATTCGATAAGACTTCGCAAATGAAGTTGGAGATTACTTCTTGCAATCTTGATGATTAACGAGAAAACTCTCTGCACTCAGTTTTTACATTCTTATCTCACCGATATTGATTCGGAATTATCTTTCTGGTTTGTTACATACGAGAAGACCATCCAATAAGAGAAATCCTTTGGTCATCAGAATAAAAACTCTTTAAATGGGCGATTATCGCCCACCGGGGAAGGACATCTGTCCTCTGCCGCTCACCGAACAATTCGTTCGTCAATGTGGCGTCATCTTCCTTGTTCGACTCAGGGGTCTCCCTGATGGTCCTTTGAGAGGATTCCTCGAAAAAAAATCGTGGTGGTCCGCTGTGACCGCACGAGCATCTCGTCTCGGGAGACCCCGCGAGATTTAACCTCGCAGTCGCGATGCCACGATCTTTCCGTCGAGTGACTATTCCTCTATTTTAATCGATATATGGAATGGCTCCTATGGTAGTCTTTAGACATCCTATACCCAAAACTAATAAATCTATTGCTTAAACGAAACACTAAAGGGATTCAGACACGCACAGAACTTACGCGCAACAGAAACACAATGACGTGAGAACACGCGCGAAGGACGGCGCCACATTTTCGCTTGTTTTTGAACTGTTGACAAATACGTGCCGAGGAGACACGACTACATTTTCCATCCGGACAAGACATCAAGTATAATTCAAATCGAACTTCACTCAGGTGAGTTCGTTTAATTTTACAATGAATAAATGAAGAAGGCCTCATTCGTCAAAGCAGATCTTGGTGAATAAAAATATTTTTCGTATAAATCTTACAATTTCCAGCAGTAAAATACTTGTTACACAAATGACTTATTACATTAAGAAAATTCTTGTTCTCAGCGTCCTTCGTCCAAAAGATGAAACGCATGACTGATAAACACGCGGCACGAGTCAGAGTATTCTCGTCGCGTCTCGAAATTTCACGTCACGCGCGAAAATTCCGCACGCGGGATTTGTTGCTGCTAACCGCGATATTTATTGCTTCTTGACAAACGCTCGTTGACGAGTCTCGCTTCTTCGGCTCGCTCTGCGAAATCCTGCCTGTTTTCATCAGCGTAGAATGGAAGAGCGTTGCATGAATAAAACCGCGCGGCTGAATCTAGCGTCGTGTCACTGACGTCGCCGTCGCCGTCGAGATCAAAAGCGAACGAGCCGCGAGACGAGTACATACGTGCCTCGAATTTGTTTTTCGACGCCATTCAGACGGCCAAAAATGAAACACGTGAGTTGTCGGCGACAGCTGCTGCGCGCTTGACATTATTTCGCGCGAACGATTCATTAGGAAGGAAGCTTCGCCCAGGCACGAATACAGGCGTAAAAAACGCGTGCGAATATCTTCAAAAATATCGACGATAGGAAAGAATTGAATCGGGAAAAGTTAAATTGTCGTCGTGAGGGTTACACTTTTCGGATATATTTATTGTTTACTTTGTATGTGTAAATGCATTCCAGGATATTTCAAAGTCATCGTTTCTTTTCTAACGGAACTATATAATTTTGTGTATGAATATGCGCAATTGTATTACGCATATTGAGATGAATTCGCACAATTCTTTACACATTCATATGAAGAAAAATATATCAAAACGCGGAGGAAATATAATAGCTCTTTTCATATAAATTCTTTTCAATGTTATCATGTTTTCTGATGATGTCGAGGAATGTAGTAAATTTTTGAATAGTAGAGATTTTTAAGTAATTCTTAAAAGATGTAAGTGAAGCGGCAGAATAATAAATTAAGGCAGTGAGAGAATGTCGATATCTTTCTCATTTTCAAAATTTTATAAAATTCTTTCCTTGCAAAAGATGTAATCCTTGAAACACTTTCGCTCGATAAAATTTTTTCCAGCCAAAACGAAGCCACCTAGAAATACATAAACCGCTATCGCGACAGTCACGGAATTTTGATACGGCGGGATACATACACGTATGTGTGCGTAAATTCTCGCAAATCTAAATTTTAAATTTTGAACTTTCCGTAACATTCGGATCTTGTCTGTCGTCTCTCGTCCATCTCAATTTTTATCTACTTCCAAACCATCTCCTGACAAATAGTGATACGCTTGCCGAAAACATGAAACAATCATTAAGATTATCACTTTTGACAACGTTGGAATAAAATACTTGCGTACGAATATTTGTTCTTATCGTCTCATTGTTGACGGACACATAAAAAATGATGGATTCGTATATTTCTATCACGTTACATACACAAACATTGTTATTAACGAGATGCGACGTGGAAATGTCAGAATGGGTGGTATATTTTTTTTATACACATATATATTATTTTTAAATTATTTCAGTCGAACCTGACTCCGTAAAGGAGTTAAAACGTGTTAAAATTTAGCATGTTTGCACCTAAACGCATCATAAGTTTGCCTCTTGGCCGAAAATGACAAAGCAATGGCTAGCGTCGCTGACATTTTCCTGGGAAAGGCTCTCTGTGAAAATTACTGCAACCGTCCTAAAAAAAAGAGCAGAAATCGAGTACGCGCGGAATGAGCGCGAAACTGCTTTTTTCGTCGCATCGCGACGCGAAAGGTCCTTCGTCGCTTTTTGCGTCGAAACTTTTCCGTTTCGCAGGCGAGAAAGCCTCGTCGTCCATATGGTACGGCGGCGCGAACAAATTCGCCGGCGCGAAAAACTGGATAAACAATGAATCGAATGCAGTGTTGTGATTGCGAGCGTTCCTACGCATACATACGCATCCTCTCTCTTTCAAAGAGCGCAAGTAATTTATTATTAATAAGGCAAGTTTTTATTAATAAAATAATAAAGCAAGTCTATTATGATAACTGCTAATTATATTAAAACCTAAGTAAGAAGGACCGGCGGTGTAAAAGCAGTTTGCTAGTTTTCTTTACGAGCGAGTAAATGTGAGATCGCAAATTCGAACGAAACGTCACGCAGCATAAGCTTAATTCGCGTCGGATCGACGCTGCTAATCCGCGTGATTTTCCAGCATTGGATCTGATCACAGATAAAGTTCGCTTTGATCGAGCCGGAAACGTGGATCCAGGCGGATCATGACGTAAATGAGTAACGCGATTCGCTGGCGAACGTTGCTTGAGTCTTGAGTGGAAGTCGGGCGACATCATTAGCAATTACAGTCGAAATTGCGGACATCGAGCACCGAAATTTTCCTCCATTTGTAGCTCATTATCGATTCCCTCACGCATAAGGCCACTTATTGATAATATTCAATTAAAGTTAACATCCGAATGGATGTAATATTAGGTGTGATTATTCGTCGATAAGATTATATATTTCGTTCGGCAACGGCACTTCAATAATTATAATTTCCCCCGCTTAACAATATAACACACAATTACATTGTTAAGTGAGAAATTATAATATTGATAACGTTGATAATTGCTGTTTATTGGAATAATTAATTTTGAGGCGCATTTGGGGTATTCTGACCGGAATCTACGTTACGCTGCTTTAGAGTATCTTGAGAAATTTTTCTGCACAGGCATAATGGCAACTGAAGATCTTATAAAAGACAGAGAATAATAGAGCGTCTGACAATTAGTTCTGATATTATGTTTCTCGATTCGATATCATCTATCGGGAATCTTTTCGATATTTTATTTTGCACGTCGAGGATATTTAATATTCGCCGCATTGAAAAATCAATCGCGGCGAAGAGGTCGATCGCGTTTCGCTCTCGTGACCTCGCCGGCCCGGTCATGTAAATCGAGAATTACAACCGGTAATTACAACGCGCGGCACATATATACTCGACGGCTTGTTGATTATCGGCGACACGTGTCGACTGCAAAATTTATGTTATTCGCGCGATCAGCATTTTACGCCGGCACAATGGTCGGCCGTGTATTCGGCCCGAATAATAATGCTGGAAAATTAGGGCGG